CAATTGGCGTCGCGTCGCGAAGATGTCGGCCTCATCGCGATCAGCGATCATGTGGGCATGAGGGCCAGTAAATCAAAATCTACAGGCCGACCAGTGAAAGATATTAATTTCTGGCCCCTATCTACAGTCGGCCCAGTTTAATAGGTCTACCCTGCCAGCTCAAGGGTACCCTTGTGTCCTGTGCCTCGCGACACGTACCTTCTTGCGCTCCAATCGCGCTGTGGCCTTCGGAAGGGTCTCGTGTCCTCGCGCGTGTTTTTTTCCAATGAAGTCCGATTGTGTTCCCGCGCATTTCCAGGCTGCGCCGGCATCGCCGCGGCGCCACTGGCACGGCGCTGCCGCAGCATCGCTGGCAGCAGTCGGCGGCGCAGTGATGGGTGCGCGCGAAGAGGCCACGATCGGCCGGCCCCCCCCCCAGATGACCCGCCAGTGTTGGGGCCGCGCGCCCAGGATGCCGAGGCTCTGGGGCGCGCCGCGGAGGGCCGAGGGCAGCGCGTGGGCGCGAGCACTCCGCGCGGGAAGCACGCGCGCGCGGGGCCCCGCCTGGGCGGCGCGCTGGCGCGACATGACTACGAGCTCGCGCATGCACAGAACTAGGGGAACAAAAAGTGGCATAAAGAAAAAACTCGGAGGTCCGCGCGGATTTCTCGGATCGGCGCTGGACCCCCTCCCATGGCGAGCGGGGCGTGCCAGGGGCGGCGCCGGAGGCGCCGCCGGGGGGCCCCGCCGCTGATCCGAGGAATCCGCGCGGACCTCCGAGTTTTTATGTTTATGCGACTTTTGTCCCCCTGAGAACATGTCAAAAGCGTGTGCGCCATGCAGGGGGAGGAGGTGCGCAGTCAACGGCATGCGTTGTGCTGGTGGCCCGTGGGAAGCACCCCCTTCCCAGAACTTGGCCTGGCGAGGGGCCCAGCCGCGCGCGGTTGTGGGTGCCGCTGTCGGGGGCGCGGTCTTTGGTGTCGCTCCCGGCGGGGCAACGAAGCGTGCGAGAGACGTGCCGACGCGGGGGCGGGGCCGCGTGCGAACCCTGCCTCTGGGTTGAGGGTTTAGGATTTAGGGTTTAGTGCTTAGTGCCCACTAGCCCAAACTCGCAGCCTGTTGGACGTGTTCCACCCACCGATGACCCAAGACATATTTATTTCAAAACGACGACGATGTTGTTTCCACGCCGTGTCGCTGGCGCTGGGCCGAGCCCTCCACCGCGTCGCGGCGGAATCGTAGCGATGCGTTGAGGCCCGGCCTGCGCCGCTCGCCACCGCCGCCCACCGCGGCGCCCCCAGAAAAGCGTCGACGAGGCGCAGCTGCGCTTTCCTCTGGGAGCTTCTCGGCGAGAGGCTCCCGAGGGAGGGGGGCTTCTGGGCGGCCTTGGTCGCCCCGCCGCGCCGGCTCCGTGGCGCTTGAGCGCGCCGCGAAGTGTCAGCGCGACGGGGCGGCCGTGGCCGCTCGGACACCCAGGGGGCCATGTCCAGCCTCCACGGGGCGGCCCTCGGGGAAGGGCGCGGGGGCGGCGCTCGACCCGAAAGGGGCGAGGTCGCGCCCGTGCCTTTCGCAAAGGACTAACGACGCCATGTCTGGCATTCCGATGTCAGCATATCCTCCCGGAACGCCATTCCTGGCACTCCGAGGCCAACAAGAATCTGCGTGAGGGGTGCGCCGACGTGGGGGCCGGCATAAGGGGCGCGGAAGGGCGTCCGTGAGAGTTTCAGGATTTCACTATTTACAGGCTCTTAGTTCTTAGGGTCCACTAGCCCAAACTCGCACAGCCTGTTGGGCGTGTTCCACCCACCCATGACCCAAGACATATTGATTTCAAAACGACGACGATGTTGTCTCCACACCGTGTCGCTGGCGCTGGGCCGAGCCTTCCACCGCGTCACGGCGGAATCTTAGCGATGCGTTGAGACCCGGCTTGTGCCGCTCACCACCGCCGCCCACCGCGGCGCCCCCAGAAAAGCGTCGACGAGGCGCAGCTGCGCCTTCCTCCGGGAGCTTCTCGGCGAGAGGCTCCCGAGGGAGGGGGGCTTCTGGGTGGCCGCGATCGCGCTGCCGCGCTGGCTCCGTGGCGTTTGAGCGCGCCGCGGAGTGTCGGCGCGACGGGGCGGCCATAGCCGCTCGGGAACCCAGGGGGCCATGTCCAGCCTCCGCGGGGCGGTCCCCCGGGAAGGGCACGGGGGCGGCGCTCAACCCGACAGGGTCGAGGTCGCGCCCGTGCCTTTCGCGAGGACCAGCGAATTCCGATGCCAGCATCTCCTCCCAGAGCGCCATTCCTGGCACTCCGAGGCCAAGAATCTGCGTGGGGGGTGCCGAAATGGGAGGCGGCATGCTGGGCGCCGCAGGGCGGCCGTGAGAGTTTCAGGATTGAGATATTTATATGCTTTTAGTTATTAGGGTTTAGGGGCCACTAGCCCAAACTCGCAGCCTGTTGGGCGTGCCCGCCCACCGATGACCCGAGACATATTCCTATCAAAACGACGACGATGTTGTCCACGCCGTGTCGCTGGCGCTGGGCCGAGCCCTCCTCCGCGTCACGGCGGAATCGTGGCGATGCGTTGAGACCCGGCTTGCACCGCTCACCACCGCCGCCCGCCGCGGCGCCCCAGTGAAGCGTCGACGAGGCGCAGCTGCGCCTTCCTCCGGGAGCTTCTCGGCGAGAGGCGCCCGAGGGAGGGGGGCTTCTGTGCGGCCGTGGTCGTCCTGCCGCGCTGGCTCCGTGGCGCTTGAGCGGGGCGTGGAGTGTCATCGCGACGGGGCGGCCATGGCCGCTCGGGAACCCAGGGGGCCATGTCCAGCCTCCACGGGGCGGCCCCTGGGGAAGGGCGCGGGGGCGGCGCTCAACCCGACAGGGTCGAGGTCGCGCCCGTGCCTTGCGCAAAGGACTAACGACGCCATGTCTGGCATTCCGATGCCAGCATCTTCTCCCGGAGCGCCGTTCCTGGCACTCCGAGGCCAAGAATCTGCGTGAGGGGTGCGCCGACGTGGAGGCCGGCGTAAGGAGCGCCGAAGGGCGGCCGTGAGAGCTTCAGGATTTAAATATTTATAGGCTCCTAGTTCCTGGGGTTTAGGGTTTAGGGGGTGTGTGCCGAGATGAGAATGAAGCCGCATGCGAGCCCTGCCGCTGGGGGGTGGAGCTCCCTGTGGGGCCGCGAAGCGTGTGAGGGGTGTACCGATATGAGTCGCGCGGGCGCATGTCGACCCTGCCGCTGGGGCTTCGGGTGGAGCTCCCTGCGGGGCCACGAACCGTGCGAGGGGTGCGCCGAAGTGAGGGGCGGGGGCGCATGTGAACCCTGCCACTGGGACCTTCGGTGGAGCTCCATGTGGCGCAGACGCGTGCGGTCGGTGCCGTTGGGGCCTTCGGTGGAGCTCGCTAGGGGGTTGGTGGACGCGCAGAGAGCAGAGGAAGGGTTGGAGGAGGGAGGAGCGGGAGGGGGGGAGGAAAGGAGGGGATCGCGGGGCGTCGTCTCTGCAAAAGGCGCGGATGCAACGCCGCAGGGTGGTTGGGGAAACTTGCCATCACCAGGGAACGCGCATTCTCGTGCGAGTCGGCCACGCGCAGAAGGGGGATAGTCGGCGTCTTCCCAACATACTTATATTATATGTGCGTCGCCCCCCCAAAGGGCGATGCGCGCACCGAGAAATCTTATAGTATATGCGTCGTGGCGGGCGCTTTCTGGCCACGCAGCTCGGGAAACGATCTACTACAATATGAGTATACTTGTGTATTGGTCGGGCGCGCGTCTCCAAGGATAACGTATCGCACTAGTATGTGTTTGTGCGTCCCAGGTAGTGGGAGGGGGAAGGCTTCTGAGAAACACCCCTGCTTCCAAAAGGTGCCCTCCCCCCCTCCCCCTACCCCGCCCGTGCGCGCCGCCAGACGAGGGCGTCGGCGCCGCCTCTGTGCCGCCACAATTATCCCCCTCCCCTCTCGAGATCCAGGCCTCCAGATTTATGTCGTGCCTGTCCCTCTACAGGAGGAATATTCAACAGCAGTCAACAAATAGTCCGGGGACGATGTTTTGACTATTTTTGCCCATTTTGGAGTTTTTTTTTGGGTATTTTTTATTATTCGTTCAAAATCCTCCTGTAGGGAAACGCCCGATCTAATCCTAGATAGGGGGTCCAGGCAAATGTGGCCGGAGGATCGCGCCGCATCGCCGATGCATCATCGGCGAGGCGGCTCCATGTGAGGCCCGATCCTATCAGCGCCGACGGCGCCGATGCATCGCCGGCGCATCGCTGGTACACTGCCAATGCGTCGGCGTTGCATCGCATCGGCGATGCGGCGCGGCCTTCCGACCCCAGCTGCTCCGACTCCTTCTGGAAGGCCTCCATTGTCGGAAACTGGAACGTATACGTTACCAGTGGCGGGCTGTTTTTCAATTCCAGGACTTGTTGAGGGTCGAGGACGACGCTGGCGTGGTGTGGTGTGTATTTTTTCCCCGATGTCCTGGGGAGAGAACGAAAAATGTATACACCAGGATCCGCTCTCCAGTGCAAATTCTAATGCAGGGCCGGAACAAGCGTCGGTGTACAGAGTTCGATTCTCTACATTGGTGCGCCTCTCTGTCGCCCCCCTCCCCCCCCACCCCCCTCGGGGGCGGCCTGACCGACCCCTGGCGGATGGACCTCGCCTCGCTCGCCTTCGGACCAAAGCCTCGGCGGACAGGCCTCCGAGCGAGCTTTCTTTGACGATCCCCCTGGCCGCGCTCCAGGACGCGGGCAGCAAACGGCCGGAATATGGCCTCATCGTCACAGAAGGGGCTCGTCGCAGAAGGGGTTTGTCAGGCCGCGCCCGACTCTCAGAGGAGAAACAAGGTCTCGATACGGCTACCCTCGCCTTGATTTCGCCCTTTTGGGCCTCCTGGAGGCCCCTCGTCACCACCGCTGCATTCGCTTCGAAGCTCAGGTCAGAACGCACCCCGGGAGAGGTCCATGGGGGCAGCAGCAACAGTATCGTTTCCCAAGATCGTCGCCCCCCCCCGGCCTTTCTTCTGCGGGCCCAGGCGGCTACGGTGGCGGCGGCGGCTACGGGGGCTACGGGGGCTACGGGGGCTACGGCGCAGGATCGCTGTCCGCGCCGCGCCGCCTCTCGTGCCGAGGAGAGGAGGGGGAGGAAGGGAGGCAGGGAGGATCAGATCGGAGGGCAGCAAGGGTGCCTTCTACCACTTTTATCCCCTTCCTCCCCTCCCTCCTCGTCGTCCCCACTCCTTCTCTTCGTCCTCCTCCCCCCCCTCCTTTTTCTCCTCCTCCTCCTCCTCCTCCTCCTCCTCCTCCTTCCGCCTCCCTCCGCCCCCCTCCTCCCTGCTCATCCCTAGTTCTCCCTACTCTTCTCCTCCTGACACCTGGTATCTGACGGCATGAGGCACGAGTGTGAGCCAGACACGGCACGTGCAAGCTTTTTTGTGAAAACCAGCACTGGTGGGCTTTCTCCCCACCCCGCCGTACCTCCGACGACGGCCAGATCTCGTCGAGACTCCTGCCCCGGAGCTCTCGACCCTCCGCATCGTCAGACCCATCCCCGTCCCGAGCGGGCGAGAGGGCTGCTCGGCAGCGCCAGCAGCCTCTGCCCCCCCGTCGAGGTTGGGGACGGGTGCCGCGAAGCAAGGCGGAGAGGGTGCGCCCATCCCCGCGACGCGGGGTGTGGTCTCGGGCAGCGGGGCCGAGGCCTTCCCAGTGGGCGCGTGGGCGGGCCTGCGCCCCGTCGGCCGGTCGCCGTTTGGGCATTCCTGGACTCGCGGGCCCCGCTCTGCTCCGGGCGCCCTCCCCTCCTCCCTCCTCCCTCCTCCCTCCTCCTCCTCCTCCTCTCCTCCTCCTCCTCCTCCTCCTCCCTCCTCCTCCTCCTCCTCCTCCTCCTCCTCCTCCTCCTCCTCCTCCTCCTCCTCTCCTCCCTCCTCCCCTCCTCCTCCTCCTCCTCCTCCTCCTCCTCCCTCCTCCTTCTCTTTCCCCTCCTCCCTCCTCCTCCTCGGGGGGCGGGCGGGCGCCCGGTCTGCCCTCGGCGACTTCCTGCCTCGTGCTCCCGCCCACGTCGTCCGACCGGCGGGCAGACCTGACGATGCCGAGGTCCCTCCCCCAGTCTGGGCGCGCGAAATGGGCACGGGAAGAATTGGCACGATGCCCAACAGCAGTTCCTGTTCATTTTGAACAGGACTCGCTGTCCGCGCCGCCGCGGCCTGTGTCCATTCGGGACAGGAGGCCGCCTGCCCAACAGCGGCCGCTGTTGGTTTGGGACAACATTCGTTGTTGGGCATTGTGCCCATTCTTTCTGTGCCCATTTCGGGCGTCCAAACCATGGACTGCTTTTCACCTTCGCTGGCTGTCTGACGGTTCGGTGGCTCAGAAGCCGCTTCCAGGCACTCACGATTTCCAGACGAGCTAGTCAGAGGCCTGGGCCCAGGCGAGGTGTCGGGCAGGATGCTCCCGCTCGACGTCCTGGCATGCGATCGCGCGTTTCGAAGCAGTGCACGGGCCGTGTAGAATAATGCAGCGGCATCCAAGCGTTCGATCAAGGTGTCGCAGCGCCTGCGCGACCGATCGTGGCCACGGTGCGTCCGCTTCAAGGGATCTCCTCCACCTGCCCCCCCTTAGCTCCGCCGCTCCCGTCCTCCTCCCTCCCCACCTGGAGCTCAACGCGTGGTTCCACACGCTGCAGGGCCAGGCCGGGGGGGAAAGGTTTGTTTTTAGCGCCGCCTCTCGGGGGCCTCTTTGGAGGCGATCTGGGCACCTCTGTGGGGGCCTCCTGGGGCCTCGTGGGGTATCTGTTTGGCCTCTTGGGCGCCTCTTGGGCGCCTCTTGGGCGCCTCCTGGGGGCCTCCTGGGGCCTCGTGGGGTATCTGCTTGGCCTCCTGGAGGCCTCTTGGGCGCGTCCTGGGCGCGTCGCGCATGGACAGCGGCCTCCTCCCGGCGGAGGAGGGCGCCGCCGCTGCCTCGGGCGCGCCCGCCTCCTGCCTCCTCCGCCCTCCTCCCTCCCGCTCCCCTGCTCCTCCCGCTCCCTCCTGCTTCCTCCCTCCTGCCTCCGCCCTCCCGCCTCCCCCCCCCTCCTCTCCCTCCTCTCCCTCCTCTCCCCCCTCCCTCTCTCCCCCCTCCCCCTCCCCCCCCTTCCCCTGGCCCTTGCTTCTCCCGCTTCCCGTCCCTCCCCCCCGTCTCGCCAGAAGCTCCTGCCTGGACGGGTTTGATGTCGGGGGCCTCCACCTGAGGCTCTGTGGGTGCCGCCGAGCGGTCAGCACGTCAGTCAGTCCCAGGGCAGCTGGTTCCTGTTCCTGTTCCTGTTCCTATTCCTATTTCTATTCCGATTCCTATTCCTGTTCCTGTTCCTGCTCCTATTCCTGTTGCTGTTCTGGTTCCCATTTATATTCCTACTATTCTGCCTACTCTAATGTTCATTGACATCGTCATGTAGCTATTCCTATCCCTAACCTAGCTTGTCCTATCCCCCCTCCCTCCCCTCCTGCAGCCCCGGCGGCGACAAGGCCAGGGAACTTCCGAGCCTTCTGAGAAGGCCCGCCCCCTCTCGCTTCCCCCCTAGGCTTGCCGCCGATTCGCGTCAGGAGGGGTGCCGAACGCGAGGGGGACACGGGAAGAGGCAGAGTACCAGGGCCTCTGCGTCGCAGGTTGGCAGAAGGCACGCGCAAACGCGGATGCCAAGCGCTCGCTTCGCTCTCCCCCTTCGCTCGAGCCTCCGCAGCGGCGAGTGCACTTCCCCTGCGGGGATCTGGAGGCCCGGAGCGCGGAGCTCCAAAAGACCCGCTTCGCTCGAGGGCTCCCTGCCGGGTGATGTGCCGGAGGAGGAGGAGGAGGAGGAAGAGGTGGAGGAGGAAGATGAAGAGGAGGAGGATGAGGATGATGAGGATGGAGGAGGAGGAGGAGGAGGAGAGGAGGAGGAGGAGGAGGAGGAGGAGGAGGAGGAGGCGGCAGAGGAGGGAGAGGAGGAGATGAGGAGGAGGAGGAGGAGGAGGAGGAGGGCGAGCAGGAGGGAGGAGGAGGAGGAGGAGGGAGAGGAGGAGGAGGAGGAGGAGGAGGAGGAGGAGGAGGAGGAGGAGGAGGAGGAGGAGGAGGAGGAGGAGGAGGAGGAGGGAGGAGGAGGAGGAGGAGTAGGAGGAGGAGGAGGAGGAGGAGGAGGAGGAGGGAGGAGGAGGAGAAGGAGTAGGCGGAGGAGGAGGATGAGGAGGATGGAGAAGGAGGAGGCGGCAGGAGGAGGGAGAGAGAGGAGGAGGAGGAGGAGGAGGAGGAGGAGGAGAGGAGGAGGAGGAGGAGGAGGAGGAGGAGGAGGAGGAGGAGGAGGAGGAGGACCCCGTCCGCAGCAGCCCCGCTGCCAGGCCTGGAGGGCGCAGGACCGAGCCCTGGGCCCAGCACTGTCCTGGCCAGGGTCGATGTACAGGTGGGGACGCGCGTTGAGACGCCATGTGCTCGGCGTCACCCCAACGTACTTGTACTGTGTGTGCGTCGCCCCCCCAGGGTTAAGTCGGGCTTGTCCCTCTATAGGGGGGATATTCCCAAGTAATAAAAAATAATGTGGGGACGATTTTTTAGACCATTTGTGACTATTCGTGGGTATTTGTGATTATTTTCTTTTTTCACCCAAAATCCGCCTGTAGGGGGACATGCCCCGACCTAAGTGTAGTTGTACTGTGCTTGCGTCGCCCCCGCAGGGGCGACGTGCGCACCGAGACGTCTTCCAGTATCGGTGTCGTGGTGGGCGCTTTCTAGCCACACCGCTCGGGAAACGATCCAGTACAAGAGGGGTCTACTATATGTTCGGGTCGGACGCGCGCCTCCACGGAGGACAGTACTAGTCTGTCTCTGCGCGTCCCATCTGCTTTTCGTGAGGCTACCCTGGGCTTCTTCGCTCCGCGCGCTGTGCGGTGACTTCCCGCAGCCGCTGAAGAAGCTGCTGCTTTCAGGGCGCTCCAGGTTTCCCCTCGGACGCACCTCGCGCGCGGGTTTTCAGGGTTGGGTTTCTTGCGAGGGTTTCTTGCGGCCGCGCCCGCACTTGCGAGGGTTGGGTTTCTTGCGGTTGCGCCCGCACTTGCGAGGGTTTCTTGCGAGGGTTGGGTTTCTTGCGAGGGTGTACCCGCCGGTCGTTGAAAGCAGGTACTGCGGTATTCTCAGGTCCCCGCCTGCTTTGGGCGCCTCCCTGCTTCAGTAAGTCGGGTGGCCTCCCTTCTGCTTCCCTCTGCGCGGGGCGGGCAGAGGCCCAGTCTGCTTCCGACGCCCTCCTGCCTCAAGCTTCTGCCCACCTCTTCCGACCGACGGTAGGGTGCCACATGCGAACCCTACCCCTGCCCCCCACGATTTCTGAGGGGGGGGTGGGGTTCACTTCGTTCGGGAGCTCCCGAGCGAAGTGAACCCCACCCTCCCCCCCAGAAATCGTGGGGGGTCGGGGTAGGGTTCGCATGTGGCCCCCTATTCAAGTTTCTGCCCACCTCGTCCGACCGACGGGCACTTGTCGTTGGCGTTCCCCGATCACCGGCTCGAGGGAGCTCCTCGGCTCCTCCGCGGCGCGGCGTGAGAACGGCCACAGCCACTGCTTTTCTTCTGTTGCCGCCGTCCAGCCCGCCGAAACACATCAGTGGTCGTGGTCACTTTCGCTGAGCCTGGCACCAGGGAAAGGACCACAACCACTGCTTCTGTTTCGGCCAGCTGGCAGGCGGCGCAAACAAGAAGCAGTGGCTGTGGGGGGGAGGGTGGGGTTCGCATGCTTCCCCCTGGACGGGCGCTTCTCGTTGGCGTTCCCCGATCACAGGCTCGAGGGATCTCCTCGGCGCCTCCGCGGCGGGGGGCGCGGCCGGGGCCGCTCTCTCCGGGCGGCGCGCTCCCGGGCTCCCCCTCCCCGAGGCTACCGCAACGGCTACGCCACCGTCGCCGGCGAGGACGGCGGGGAGGGGGGGGAGGGGGTCGAGCGACGAGAGCTACGCGCGTGCACCGACCCTGGCCAGGGCCCATCCGGGGCCCAGGCTTCAGTCGGGCCTGTCCCTCTGCAGGGGGAGTGCTCAAACGTAGGCAAAGCATAGTCTGGGGACTTTTTTTTTATTACTATATTTCCCATTTGGTTTTTTTTTGTTTGAGTTTTTTTTTTTTCGCCCAAAGCCCCCCTGCAGGGGGACACGCCCGACTTCGGCCCAGGATCTGCGTGTATGCATCCCTGGCCAAGCCAGGATGGCGTACGCACCAGTCCTGGGCTCAGGAGGAGCCCGACCAGGATCCGTGCTTGCTTGTTTGTGTGTGTGTGTGTGTGTGTGTGTGTGTGTGTGTGTGTGTGCGTGCTTCCTCCCGCACAAAGTGTTCAGTTCAATTGGTGCGCAACCCGCAAGTGTAGCTCCTGGCCCGCAGGCTGCCTGGGTCTGTGGATGGGATGGGAAGGAAGGAGCGGATGGATGGATGGGAGGGGTTGATGATTGGAGGGGGTGGAGTGGCACGGGGATTTGGGGAGGGGAATGGATTGGAGAGAGGGGTGAGGGAACGGAGGAAAGGGGGTCCGTAAGCTGACTCGAGCCCTTTGGCCTTTGGTTCATTCCATCTTGGCTCAAGCGATTGTTGCCCATGGCATCCTTGGATGCTGCTGGACATCTGGCGAGGGTCTCCACCATATGCGTCTTCCACTGGACCTGCATCAAAGCAAAGGAGCGCCTCGCTACGAGTTCCCCACAGAACATCTCAACGATGCTGGACAGTCAGCGCAGGCCATTTCACTGCGACTATCACAGCAAGCGGGAGCGGCAGGCAATGGCAACGGGCACTGTCACTTCTCCACGAAGCACTTGTCACAAAGGTGGAGGTCAGCATCGCCAGTTACAACGCTGGGATCAGCGCATGCCAGAAAGCCAAGCAATGGCAGCTGGCGCTGTCGTTGCTCAGCGAGATGTGGGAGGCGAGGTTGGAGCCCGACACCATCGACGCCATCTGTTCTCTAATGCTGGGTGTACGCGTGCGAAGCAAGCGAGCACTAGTCAGGACAGCCTCACACGCCAGGCTCCCAGGAGGCCCCGACGACGCTTCCTGGAGGCCCGTGGAAGGCCGGTCTATTCAAATGTTGTCGGTTTCTTCGCCTGTGTTGTCCGGGTCGAGCCCAGATGGGCCCAGGACGATTCCAGACGATTCCAAGGTGCATCCGAGGCCGCCACAAGAGAACGCTAACATGGTCCATGAAGGTCCAGTCCAGGACGGCACCATGAATGCCCAAGTTAGGCGAAACGCGGTCTACGAGGGCCGCCAGATTGCCCTAGAGTGGCTCACGAACCACCAGCGTCCGACGTGGCTCCAGGACGGCCCCTTTTGGCCCCAACACCCACAGAGACGGCCCCAAGACACCGGCAAACCCCCGACAAGCCCCCAAGATCCCCCCACCATTCCCCTCAGAGGCTTGCATAACATTCCCCCGAGAGAGGCTCCTGAGAGCACCCTCTGAGAGACCACATGCTTTGAGCGAATTATATCCCCAATGCTTCCGGCCTGTCCTTTCTGGCCCGAGACGGGTGATTAAGACGGCCCAGCATGGTCCCCACAATGATACCGCCATTTGTCCGTCGTGTTTTTTTCATCGACGGGGCACCTTGGTCAGCTACAACACCAGCATCAGCGCGTGCGGAGCAGGCAGGCAGTGGCGGCGGGCTCTGCGGCTGCTCAGCGAGATGTGGGAGGCGAAGCTGGAGCCCAACGTCATCCTCAACACAGAGAGCCTCACGCGCGAAATGCCGCGGGGGCGCACTGGGTGCGTGCGGGGCGTTGGACATCAGAAACGGGCGAGCGAGGTGTCACAGACATTTGATGATGCCCAAGGAGGCCTACAGTAGGTTTCGATGTCCATGAAGCCGCCAACGCCTCGTTGATCTCTATGTCTTTACCCGTCTTCTCCTGATATTGTGTCTGCAGGTGCAGCTCCCGCTACTGCTGAGCTACTGGTGCCGCTGCTGCTGCTGCTGCTGCTCTTCCCCTCCACCTCCATTCATTGGCTTTTGCCCCCGCTCCTGATACTGCCACTCGTGTGCATTACCATCATTTTATCCTCTTGCTGCTTCTGTTCCTTTTTCTTATCGTTCCCCTCGACGTATTCTACCCCTGCTGCTGCTGAATATGCTTCTTCTGCCGCTTCTGGAGCGCCGTCTTCTTTGCCCCTTCTCTTCCTCAGCGGGCTGTCGCTATTGCTTCTGCCGCTTCTGCTCCTTCTCCTGCTTGCGTTCCTGCTCCACCTTCCTGCGCGGCATGGCATACAGCATCATCTAGTCAGCACTCTGCCACTGCGGTCGGTACCAGTGGATTTCATACACCGTAGCACTTCATACACTCCCACATTAGAACATGCCGCGACAGAACAGTATGCCATATGTTCGATGCACACTCGTGTGCGGAGCACCGGGTGCAACCTCGGTCAGTTACAGCGCTGGGATCAGCGCGTGCGAGAAAGGCGGGCAGTGGCAGCCAGCTCTCTCATTGCTGAGCGAGATGTGGGGGGCGAGGCTGGAGCCCGATGTCATCTTTGAATCACGGTTCTGGGAGAAGCGCGTGCGAGAGTGTCAAGGAACAGGGATTCCGGACGTGTCGCGTGTTCCCACCAGCTAGATCGTGGCCCGCTAGCTGGGACTCTCGGACGGCGTCCAGCGTTCCCGGTGCGCTCGCGATCAAAAAGTATTCCCACCCGCCCATTTGGAAAGGATGCCCAGGCGAGTCGCCTTGACCCTGGGAGTGTGGGAGCAAGCAGTGGAACAAGGGGGGGAGGTCGGAGGGGGAAGATGCGACACCAACACCACCAGGGGGGCCTACCTCCAGCGAGGAGGTCCACGATGCCCCCCCGAGCTAGAGGCTGGGGATGTCTCCAGCGAGAGGGGGGGACCACACCACCAGAGAGACCCCCCTCTGCTTCTCGCATCTCCTCGCCCTGCTGGCGTTGGTGTCGCCTTTCATTGTGCTCCTGAGAGGGGGGGCCCCCGGGGCCGGGCCCCCCCCCGCGCTTCGGGGCAGCCGCCGCCTCCTCCTGGGCGACCCGTTTCCGTCGCCGACAGAGGGGGCATCCAGTTCTTGGGAGTGGCTCGGGCCCCTGCGCGACAGGGCCCCCGTCTCCGCCACCCGTGCAAGAGGCATCGGCGTCCCCCCCCCCCTCCTTGCCACCGCAGCACCGCCGAGCGGCCACTCGAGGAGACGCGCCCGTGTGGCAACGCGAACGTGCATCCTTTCGCTCTGCCTGATGCCCGTGGACATTTGGGCGCAGGCGTTCGGCCGATTTGGAGCAACCCACCTACAGCCCTAGGGCATCACGTTCCTGGGGGTGGCTCGGGCCCTTGCGCGACAGGGTCCCCGTCGCCGCCACCCGGGCGCAAGAGGCATTCATGTCATTCCCTTGGTTCACCATCGTCGCGCCGCTTATAGTGCCATACGGGGACATCAGAACTCCAAGAACTGCAAGCACTGCTTGTTTTTTTGTCCGTGGCTTTTTTTCCATGTGTTTCTTTCCCCGTCAGACTGGACATTTGTTCCCAACCCTCCTTGGTTGGGTATTCGTTTTGAATAGAGCAGTGTGGTCGCGTCCTTCCTCCTCCCGCCTCCCGCCTCTTTCCTGCCTCTTCCTGTCTTGCCTGCGGGGGGCTGTGAAACTGTCGCCATTTTCGAGGCCTGCTGGGGGGCCCAGCACAGTGAGGGCCACGGGCAGATTCAAATTAGACCTCGCCATCCCTGGGGGGCTGCGATCTGTGAAACTGTCGCCATTTTCGAGGCCTGCTGGGGGGCCCAGCACAGTGAGGGCCACGCGCAGATTCAAATTAGACCTCGCCATCCCTGGGGGGCTGCGATCTGTGAAACTGTCGCCATTTTCGAGGCCTGCTGGGGGGCCCAGCACAGTGGGCCACGGGCAGATTCAAATTAGACCTCGCCATCCCTGGGGGGCTGCGATCTGTGAAACTGTCGCCATTTTCGAGGCCTGCTGGGGGGCCCAGCACAGTGAGGGCCACGGGCAGATTCAAATTAGACCTCGCCATCCCTGGGGGGCTGCGATCTGTGAAACTGTCGCCATTTTCGAGGCCTGCTGGGGGGCCCAGCACAGTGAGGGCCACGGGCAGATTCAAATTAGACCTCGCCATCCCTGGGGGGCTGCGATCTGTGAAACTGTCGCCATTTTCGAGGCCTGCTGGGGGGCCCAGCACAGTGAGGGCCACGGGCAGATTCAAATTAGACCTCGCCATCCCTGGGGGGCTGCGATCTGTGAAACTGTCGCCATTTTCGAGGCCTGCTGGGGGGCCCAGCACAGTGAGGGCCACGGGCAGATTCAAATTAGACCTCGCCATCCCTGGGGGGGCTGCGATCTGTGAAACTGTCGCAATTTTCGAGGCCTGCTGGGGGGCCCAGCACAGTGAGGGTGACGCGCGGATTCAAATTAGACCTCGCCATCCCTGGGGGGCTGCGATCTGTGAAACTGCCACGCATTTTCGAGGCCTGCTGGGGGGGCCAGCACAGTGAGGGCCACGGGCAGATTCAAATGAGACCTCGCCATCCCTGGGGGGGCTGCGATCTGTGAAACTGTCGCCATTTTCGAGGCCTGCTGGGGGGCCCAGCACAGTGACGCCACGGGCAGATTCAAATTAGACCTCGCCATCCCTGGGGGGGCTGCGATCTGTGAAACTGTCGCCATTTTCGAGGCCTGCTGGAGGGCCCAGCACAGTGAGGGCCACGGGCAGATTCAAATGAGACCTCGCCATCCCTGGGGGGGTTGCGATCTGTGAAACTGTCGCCACTTTCGAGGCCTGCTGGGGGGCCCAGCACAGTGACGCCACGGGCAGATTCAAACGAGACCTCGCCATCCCTGGGGGGCTGCGATCTGTGAAACTGTCGCCATTTTCGAGGCCTGCTGGGGGGCCCAGCACAGTGAGGGCCACGGGCGGATTCAAATTAGACCTCGCCATCCCTGGGGGGGCTGCGATCTGTGAAACTGTCGCCACTTTCGAGGCCTGCTGGGGGGCCCTGCACAGTTACGCCACGGGCATATTCAAACGAGACCTCTCCATCCCTTGGGGGCTGCGATCTGTGAAACTGTCGCCACTTTCGAGGCCTGCTGGGGGGCCCAGCGCAGTGACGCCACGGGCAGATTCAAATGAGACCTCGCCATCCCCTGGAGGCTGCGATCTGTGAAACTGTCGCCACTTTCGAGGCCTGCTGGGGGGCCCAGCACAGTGACGCCACGCGCGGAGCCAAATTAGACCTCGCCATCCCTGCGGGGTTGCGATCTGTGAAACTGTCGCCACTTTCGAGGCCTGCTGTGATCACCATTTTCGAAGTGGCTAGGAGTGCCCAGGAATTGTAACTCTTCAGTTTTATCAAGCCCTTTTCCTGTAGCCAGTGTCCTGCGAGTCTCCCGAATTCCGGCTGCAGACATATGCAACCCTCGCTCCGTCATCGCCCCCTTATAACGTATCCGAAACTATTTGCGCCCCGCTTTTGCGCAGGGGTTGGGTACGTCGCCAGGGTAATTTTGTTTGTTGGTGCGATCATAGTGTGGATTGGTTGTTCTGCCTTGACATTTTCTGTTGGCCAGTCTCTCTTGCAGCCGACCGCTTTGGGTGTCGCGCTGGGTGTCCACGGTCGGTCCCCTGGGCGTCGACGGAAAAAAAGGCAGGGGCTCACCGAAGCGGTCCGACCTCACTGCCGTTGCAGGTTCGTGATGTTATTCCAGATTTCGTAATAAAGGGAGGGGGGTCTCATTTCGGGGGGGTCTCTTCCAGGCTATCTTGGAGGGCCTGGGGGGTCTGGGGACGATGTTTTGGAGGGTTCTCCCACGGGGGAGGTCTGAAATGGCTTGTCTTGGAGGGTCCAGACCCCCTCCCTTTTATTACGAAATCTGGAGTAATCCTCAGTTCTGCAGTTTGTCTTGTGTACGCGGCGAAACCGAACGCCCATTCAATGAACGAAAACCATGCCACCGACCCGATGCCCCAGCCATGGGCCGAAGCTTGTGGAAGGTGGTGTCCTCCGGCCACGACAGCCTGCTCCTCCTGCTGTTCCGACCTGCTGCGCATGGACATCGGCACAAACGCCTTCGCCGTGCCAGCCGTGGGTTTCCCACGGGTTCCGGGCGTACGCCAGGTTGTGCTATAGTTCAGTCGGCTACAACGCTGGGATCAGCGCGTGCGAGAAGGGCGAGCAGTGGCAGCGGGCTCTGTCGCTGCTCGGCGAGATGCGGGATATCAAAATCAAACCCAGCGTCATCAGCTACAGTGCTGGAATCGGCGCCTGCGTAAAAGGGGAGCAGTGGCAGAGGGCTTTGGTACTGCTCAGGCAGATGCGGGAGGACAAACCGGAACCCGACGTGATCTTCGCAGTAGTTGCGGGGGCGTTGTTGGCGAGACATATTTTCCGGGGGTCCCAAGACTGTTTGGTAACAGGACCTCGAAATCCTAAGGGATCTCACCGCGCGGTCCGTCACCGCACTGTTTTGGGATCTCGTAGGCCGCGGCCGCCCGCAACGTTGTCGGAGAACGACTTGAGTTCGAAAACCGAGTGGTGACCCCGGATCCCCAGTGACTCACAGTGCGGTGTGGTCACCACACCGTTTGGGGACCCCAGAGTTTAGCTTATCCCTGGCGCCAGGGGCGCGCCCGTAGTGCTTCGCGCTCTTGCAGGCCAACATCTCAAGATGTCTCCTGCGTTCGAATGCTGCGGGTTTTCTTGTCCGAGTGGCCAGAGACGGGTCCAGATGAGCCCAGGATTGCTCGAAACGATCCCGAGGCGGCTCCCAGGCAGTGTTGAGGTGAGCCCAACATTGCCTGTGAGGGCCCAAGGCGGCGCCTTGAAGGCCAGAGCCGCCAGAGTGCGCAAGCGTGGCTCATGAACCGCCAAGCAGCGTCCGACATTACTTTCAGACGGCCCTGGACGGCCTCAGCACCATCCGATGCGGCCCCAAGGCCTCGAGATGCACCATGCAAACAGCCGCATGCGAGGCTGCATAAGGTCCCCCTGAGAAGCCCCTTAGAGCCACCTCATAGGCCAACCACTTCGAACATGTTGTCTATTCTCGCCGTTTCCGAGACAAGCAAATCGGTGCCCAAGACGGCCCCAATATTAACTGCGCTGCGTCAAATTTCTCCTTCATTGACGGGTCGCCCTAGTCAGCTACAACGCCAGCATCAGCGCGTGCGGGACAGGCAGGCAGTGGCAGCGGGCTCTGCGGCTGCTCAGCGAGATGTGGGAGGCGAAGCTTGTGGCCAACGTCATATTAATCTCCTACTCGCGCTTCTTATACTGCACCCACCATGGCATTCAAGACCATGACGCAGCGAGGAAACACACATCAATACACCTCGCATTCTGCCACCGCAAAGAATGCCAGAAAGCACAGCATAGTATACAACATGAGGGCGTATAACAGCACCCCATTCGATCCTGCGTCCGACGTGTGTGCTTCTGTGCGTCGATCAAGCGGTTCGCCGCTGGTCAGTTACAACGCTGGGATCAGCGCGTGCGAGAAGGGCGGCCAGTGGCAGCATGCCCTCGCGCTGCTGCGCGAGATGCGGGAGGCGATGCTGGAGCCCGAGGTCATACCATGTTATACAGCGCTCTGGGTGAACGGCCCTCTCGGCCCGAGGTGGCCCTAGAGGGCCCAAGAGATGCCCCGGATCGGGGGTACGCAGAGGGGCCGCGGAGGGGTTGATGGGGTCTCAGAGATCCAGCGTCTTGAAGAGATCAAGAAGCATTTGTTTGCTCCGTCTTCGTCCTCTGTAGGCCCTCGCCGGGCCCCGGGCCCGTCAAAACAGGACTCGGGATCAAAAACCGATCCCGGGGAGTGGGTCCAGATTTGCGGGGACCCCACTATTGAAAACATATCGGACATCGGATCTCTGGGGTTACGGAGCGAGCCCAACTTGGGTCTGATGTTCACCCTCTCCAGGTGCTGCCAGGAGCGATTTTCCTCCAGGCCCCACCCGTGGCCCAGCCCCTCCTCCTCCTCCTCCTCCTCCTCCTCCTCCTCCTCCTCCTCCTCCCCGTCCTCCTCCTCCTCCTCCTCCTCCTCCTCCTCCTCCTCCTCCTCCTCCTCCTCCTCCTCCTCCCCCTCCCTGCGCCCCCCCAGACTGGAGAGACCCCTGACGGCGTAGTGTGGCCCCTCGAGGGTCCCAGGCGGCCGAATCGAGCCTCTGGATGTCGTCCAGGCGCTTCCAGAAGACCCCCCCTGGCGCGAGAGGGTTCAACTGGCCCCAGGACGGCCCAACCCACCTGAACAGTATTTCTGCTGCAGGTTTTTGAATGATTCGCTTTGCCCACACAGGACCCAGTAAGCATCTACGACGGCTCCATGACGCCCTCAGGTGTCTCAAGATGGCGTCCTGAACACTCCAAGACGACCCATGACAGCTCCAAGACAGTACCAAACACCCAGAGTCTTCTCATACGGCCCAGGGGAGCTTTTAGAGAGTCCCAGGCGCAGATGATCTAAGATGACCTCAATACGGCCCAATAGAGTTTTAGAACGGCCCCGACAGCTAATGGGGCCTTCGTAGCAGCCTCAAGAGACCTGAAGAGGGCCCCCGGGCGCCCATGCCAGCCCCAGAGCCTCAAATGCATTCCTGGAACCTTCCAGCAGCGTACAGTCAGCAGCGAAGAGAAGCCAGCAGAGGCAGCAGCAGCAGCAGCCGCCGTCGCCGCCGCAGCAGCAGCAGCAGCAGCAGCAGCAGCAGCAAGCAGCAGGCTTGATGTCCTTTGCGAACCCGTGCTAGACGAGCAACCTGCTAGTGGATTTCACCCACGAGAGCACGCCAGTCTCTACAACGGTGCCAGGACCAGCGCGTGCGAGAGTGGGGGGGTCCCGTGGCCGGGACTCCTCGGTATTTGCAGGGGGCCTCGGCGGATCCAGAAGGGTCAAGACGGCCCAGTGCGGCCCAGTCAGGTTCCCAGGCGTCCCAACAGAGCCTCCGGGGTACGACAACCCGGCGCATTCCTAAGCCATTTGTTTTTTGTGCTCTCCTTTTTCGTTTCCAGATTCTCCACGAAGGGCTCCAGAAGCTTCCAACAGGGTTCAATCGGCCACACGGGCTCCCACGAGGGCACAAGCTGCTCTCAAGATAAGTTCACGATGGCCCTGGCTGGCGTTCAAGCCCAAGACCGCTCCAAGATGGCCCCATGACTTCCAGTTGGCCCGCGGACTCCCGCAACGGCCCCGCCAGGCCTCAAGGGACCGCAAGACGGCCCCGAGAGGCCCCACAAGAGAGCCCACAGAGACAGGCCCCAAGAAGGCCCTGACGTCGCAGAAGGCAAGTAGCGGAGCCAGCAGCAGCAGGGCTAGTAGCAGCAGCTTCGAGGAGAGCATCAGCAATCAGCATTAGCAAATCCAAGCAAGCTCCAATATAGCCCAAAGACGCCCCCCAAACGGTATTTAGACTGACCAGCCAGCGAAGCAAGCAAGCGAGCAGCAGAGCCAGTGGCAGCCGAGTTAGCAGCATCAACCAGGATTAGCATTCACAAGCAAGCAGCAGCAAGCCGAGCCAGCAAACAACATCTGCAGTCAGCAGCATGCATCCAAATCGTCAACAGTTGATTGTGGGCACCACCCACGGGTACACACTGGTCAGCTACAACGCTGGGATCAGCGCTTGCGAGAAAGGCCGGCAATGGCAGCAGGCTCTGTCGCTGCTGAGCAGGATGTGGGGCGCAAAGGTGGAGCCCGACGCCCTCTATCTAGTGGCCTTCGGCGGCCAACTTCGACCCCCGTGCCTGGGCTGTGGACCAGAGGCCTCTTGAAGCCCTGTTCAGGGCCTCCTGGGAGGCCTCTCGCCTCATCGGGGCTCCTTGGGGATCTCTCTTCGAGCCTCTCGCAGGACCTCGAGGCCTCTTAGGGTCGCCCACGAGAGTTCCAAGCCGACCTCCGAGAGTCCCAACAGTGCCCGAAGGGCACCCCAGCGCCCCCCGAGAGGGCCCAAAGGGGACCCCTGGGAGAGCCCCCCGGACCAACAGGCACTGTTCTCTCTTGCCTCGGCACCGCTCGGAAGTGTGCCTTTTTTTGACCTGCGAGGGCCATCGAGAGGAGCATTCCGAATCATCCTGCGACAAGAGGCAGGGCACTAGAAGAGAGGCACGGGGAACCGGCGTCCGAGCGATGGCAAGCTCGGCGTCCGAGGCATCTTGAGCGCTCGGCTCTCTGGGCCTCGGATCGCCCGCCGGGGGGCCCCCGATGCCCCCTCCGAGGCCGTCCCGAGGCGGCCCGGGAGAGGGCCCCGAGAGGGCCCGAGGCTGCCGAACAGGACTCCGAGACGTCCCAAGACTAGGGGGGCCACGTGCGAGCCCTACGTCCTGCCCCCCACGACCTCTGAGGGGGAGGGTGGGGTTTCACTTCGTTCGGGAGCTCCCGAGCGAAGTGAACCCCACCCTCTCCCTCAGAAGTCGTGGGGGGCAGGGGTAGGCTTCGCACGTGGCCGCCTGAAGACAGTCCGAGCGGCCGGCAACATGGCTCCAAGACGGGCTCATGGCGGACCAGGAGCGCGCAAAGAGGGCCCCTGGGCGCCCCCAGAGCGTCTCCGGACCCACCCGAAGCAGCTCCCATAGGCTCCATGGGGCCGCCCAGGTGGCTCTGGGATTAAGTCGGGCCTGTCCCCCTACGGGGGGATTTTCGACGAAAAATTAAGAAAATACCACAAACATACCCCAAAAAGGTCAAAAACTATTCAAAAATAGTCACTAGACTATTTTTGTATTGTTTTCTGGTTATTTTTTGGGTATTTTTTATTTTTCGTCGAAAATCCCCCTGTAGGGGGACAGGCCCGACATAACTCTAGGAGGCCTGGGAGAGCCCCATGGAAACCTTGGCCGGCACGGAAACGGAACGAGCGCTTCAGAATTTTGACGGAAATCACTCACACCTCCGTTCGTCCTGGAGCCTCGGCGTTGAGAGCTTGTTACGTTCTGGACGCCCGAAATGCATACGGAAAGAATGGGTACAATGCCCAACAGCAGTTCCTGTTCATTTTGAACAGGACTCGCTGTCCGCGCCGCCGCGGCCTGTGTCCACTTGAGACAGGAGGCCGCCTGCCCAACAGCGGCCGCTGTTGGTTTGGGACAACATTTGTTGTTGGGCATTGTATTTATTCTTTCGGTACCCATTTCGGGTGTCCAAATACGTCACCCCTCGCTCTTGGGAGCCTTGGTGTTCAGAGATCGTTGCGTTGCGCCCGTTCCTGAGCCTTGGCCTGGCCTTGGTGTCAGGAGTTTGTTGCGTCACCGCTCTCTGCTGGGAGCCGTGGTCTTATCAGCTTGCGTACGTCACCGTTCGCTCTTGGGAGCCTTGGTGTGAAGAGCTTGTTGCGTTACCGATCGCTCTTTCTTTGGCGTCTCTGGGCCTGCTTGGGAGTCCTATTGCGGCCCTTTTGGAGCCCTTTCGGGGGCCCCCTGGGGGCCTCTTGGGGGCCCATTGGGGCTTCTTGGGGGGCTCTTGGGGCCTCCTGGGAGTTTCTTGGGGCTAAAGGCTAGACTTTTCGGTTCGTGGCCCCCCTCTTGGGGCCGTCTTGGGGCCCTCTTGGGCGCCTCTTGGGCCGTCTTGGGGCCCTCTTGGGCCGTTGTTGTGGCCTCTTGGGAGCCTCTTGGGCCGTCTTGGGGTGGTCTTGGGGGGCCTCTTGGACCGTCTTCAATGCCGTGAAAGCAGACAAGCCGTGTATGCTAAAAATGTACGTTTTCCCATCGGAAATCAATGATTGTGGCCTCCTGGTGGCCTCTTGGGACGCCTCTTGGGGGCCTCTGGGGGCTTCTTGGGGGGCTCTTGGGGCCTCCTGGGAGCGTCTTGGGGCGAACGGCTAGACTTTTCGGTTCGTGGCCCCCCTCTTGGGGCCGTCTTGTGGCCCTCTTGGGCCGTCTTGGGCGCCTCTTGGGCCCTCTTGGGGCCCTCTTGGGCCGTTTTGGGGGCCTCTTGGGAGCCTCTTGGGCCGTCTTGGGGGTCTTGGGGGCCTGTTGGGCCATCGTGAACGCCGTGAAAGCCGAAAACCCGTCTATGCTAAAAATGTACGTTTTCCGAAGGGGCATCAATGATTTTGGCCTCTTGGGGCCCTCTTGGGACGCCTCTTGGGCGCCTCTTGGGGCGTCTTGGAGGCGTCTTGGGACGTCTTGGGGCTGTCTTGGGCGGTCTTGGGCTCTTCTGGGACGGAAAAGGGGAGAACCTGAAGACATACAAAAACCCGAGGGAAAACCCGAAACCGGCCATTACCAACCCTGCGTCCGTGCCTCGCCCCCCCTCTGCATTCCCCCCTGAAGGGCTTCGCCCCGCACGAGAACGGCATCACTCGTACCTCGCTCTTTCCGTTAAGACGCACCGGAGACGGCCCTGATAGACTCCGAGGGGCCCCCGGTAGACATCCCGGTATGCCTCCCCTTACGAGGCCGCAGGAGGCCCCAAGAGGTTCCTCCCCACTCGCCTCCTCCCCCCTCGGCTCCCTCTCCTCCCTCCTGGCCCTCGCTCCCCAGCCGTCGCTCTCGCTCTTCGCTGATCGCTTTTCGTTTCTCCCTCTCCCACCTCGCTCTCCTCAATCCTGACTCCTCGACCCTCAGTCCTCTCCAGGCAGCAGGCTGCGGCAGCAAGCTGGAGTAGCGAGACGCAGCACCCTGCATGATCATACAGCGGCAGCGAACGGCATCAGCACGGAACACGAAACAGGCAGCAGCCGCGGCAGCACACAGCGTTAGCAACAACCAACAACAGTCATCGAAAATCCGTACGCACTGGTCGTCATCACCACCATCATCATCATCATCATCACCATCATCAGCAGCAGCAGCATCATCATACTCATCACCACCACCATCATCATCATCACCATCATCATCATCTCACCATCACCATCACCATCACCATCACCATCACCATCACCATCACCATCATCATCTCACCATCGGCATCATCATCCCCATCACCACCATCAGCATCATCATCATCGCCATTGTCATGACAACCATCATCATCACAACCGTCATCATCACCACATCATCATCCCGATCATCAGCACCACTATCATCATCACCATCACCATCATCACCACCACACAACACTTATCATCACCATCCCCAGCACCATCACCATAATCATCGTCACCACCACCATCATCATCATCATCATCATCATCACCATCATCATCGCCATCACCACCATCACCATCACCGTCACTATCACAAGCATCATCATCATCACAATCATCATCGCCACCGCCATCGTCATCATCATCCCCATTATCACCATCATCATCATCATCATCATCCTCATCGTCATCACCATCACCATGATGATCATCCTCTTCATCATCATCACCATCATCATCACACGCATCATCATCATCATCATCATCATCATCATCATCATCATCATCATCATCATCATCATCATCATCATCATCATCGTCATTAGCATCAGCAGCATCACCATCGGCATCATCAGCATCAGCATCAGCATCATCAGCATCAGCATCAGCATCAGCATCAGCACCAGCATCATCACACCACCGTTATCACCATCATCATCACCATCATCATCATCATCATCATCATCATCATCATCATCATCATCATCATCACTAGCTTGCAGCCACACGCATCAACATCTCGCGGCAGCGGCAAGCACTGCCAACAAGACGCAATCACGCGGCACTCAGCAGCACTCGCGGAATGCGAGGTGCGAGCCCGATGTTGTCATGGAAGCCTCTTGGCAGCATGCCCGCCGTCTCACGCCGTCTCCGGGAGCAGCGCGTGCGGGAAGGGAAACGCGCTGGGCGTCGAACATCGGCCTCGGCGGGCCCCTGGCGCGGCCTCGGCGGGCCCCCGGCGCGGCCCTGCGTGCCTCTGGGCGGCTCGAGCACGCCTCGGAACGCCTTCAGGGAGCGCCGAGATCGGGCCAAGAGCCCCAACATGCAGACGGCTCGCGGCGACCAAACATCATTGGTTTTTGGTTTTTACGGTTTTCTGCCTGAGCGTAAGGTTCTCGCGATTCCGAGCCACGAGCGGCGGCCCAAGACGGTTATTGGGCCCCCCCGAACGCTCCAAGGCCGCCCAAGAGCTCCAGCAAGGGCCCCAAGACGGCTCCAAGACGGCTCCCGGAGAAACCCAAGACGGCCCAAGAGAGCCCCAAGACGGCGCGAGAGAGCCCCCAGGAGCTCCTAGATGGGCCCCAAGAGCCGCCCAAGAGGGCTCACGGAGAGCTCCGAGACAGCCCAATAGACCCAGCATGGCCCAAGACGGCCCAAGAGACCGTCCAGACGGGTTGCGGCTGCCAAAAATTACTGATTTTTCTATGGTTTTTGCTTGATTGCAAGGTTCTCGCAATTTCGAGCTCAGAGCGGCCCAAGACGGCCCTGGGCCACCCACGAATGCTCCAAGGCTATAAAAAGGCTCTGGTAAGGGCCCCAAGACGGCTCAGGAGGGCTCCAAGAAGGCTCCAGGAGGAGCCCAAGGCGGCCCAAGAGAGCCCCAAGACGGCGCGTGAGAGCCCCCTGGAGTCCCCAGACGGACTCCGCGAGCCACCCACGAGGGCTCACAGAGAGCTCCGAGACGGCCCAACACCCCCAATATGGCTCCTGCACGGCCCCAGGGGCCGTCTGGACGGGCCGCGGCAAACGAAATACCTGATTTTCCAATGGTTTGCCAATTCGAGCCAAGACTGGCCCAAGACGTCTGCTGGGGCTCTCCCGAACGCTCCAAGGCCGTCCAAGAGGATCCGGAAAAGACCCCACAACAACCCAGGAGGGCTCCAAGATGGCCCAGGAGTCTAAGAGGCCCCAAGACGGCCCGAGAGCCACCCGAGACAGCCCCAAGACGGCCCACGAGACCCCCAGGAGGCCGAAAAGACCCCCAGGAGGCCGAGCAGCTTCCAGGAGGCCCCCAGAGTAGGCTTCAAAGCTGGTCTCGAGGCACGGGCAGCGGACGAGAGGCGAGAGGCTCATCGCATGCCCGAAGGAGTTGTTTTCCACGCTCTGAGGGCCCTGGCAAACAGGAGCAACTCGCAGGACCTGCAAGCAAACATCAAGCAAGCATCACGCAAACGGTAAGACGGTGCAGGCTAAACAACTCGCGCGCATTGGCAATGAAACGGGCAGCAAGCAACCGAACGCAACAATCGACAGCAGACACACGCTGACATTCTTGCTGTCGTGGGCAGGGCCTACGGGGCAGCCCTCGACACTTTGCAATCCTTTAAGGTTACTCCGAGACGCCCCACAAGGCTTCCAAGCTGGCCCCAGGAGTCGGCCCCAGCGACGCCCAGACGGCCCAAGAGAATCTTACGAGAGCCCGAAGAGCGGCCCACGGGGCCCAAGACGGCCCCAAGACGGACCGCGAGGCGCCCTAGACAGCGCCGGGACAGCCAACGGGACCCTCAACAGGCAAACAGAAGCCTCCAGAGTCCCTGGATGCTTGTGCTCTTGAAAGCGTCGTCGTAGAAGCGACGATTGGCACGATGGACCGTCGAAGGTGAGAAGGGTGGAGGGACGGAGAAAGAGGAGAAGGATCCAGCAGCAGGGAACAGAGCGGCGAGCAGCAGCTGCAGCAGCAGCACGCGTTGACATCACCAGTGCCAAGCAGCATCCTGCATCAAGCAGCAGCAGCAGGCAAGCGGCAACATCCACCACCAGGCAAAAGCTAGCGCATGCACCAGTCCGTAGCAAGCGGATGCCGCAGGCGGCATCAGAAGAGATACCAGACGAACAGCCGCAAGTGGCAACAGGCATCACTGAGCAGCAGCAAGCGGCTGTAAAAGGCGCCGGGCAGGTGCCAGCGCCCAGACTCCGCTCGCCACCTCGAGCAGATGTCCTGGACGTGGTCCACGGGTCAGCCCTGGTCAGCTACAACGCTTTGACCAGCGCGTGCGAGAAAGGCGAGCAGTGGCCGCGGGCTTTGTCGCTGCTCGGCGAGATGCGGCAGGTGAAGCTCGAGTGCAGCGCCGTCAGCTACAGTGCCGGAATCGGCGCGTGCGCAAGAGGCAGGCAGTGGCAGTGGGCCTTGGCTCTGCTCCGAGAGATGTGGAAGGAGAGGCTGGAATCCGACGTCATCTTCCTAGTATTGCTGTGGGCGTTGCATGCAGGCGGCCTGGACAAGTAGGTCGACCCTGCCAGATCAAGGGTGCCCTCGTGTCCCGTGTCTCGCGACCCACGCTTCGCACATTCCTTCGGCAGTGTGGCCCTCGGAGGGGTCTTGTGTCCTCCTCCTCCTCCTCCTCCTCCTCCTCCCTCCTCCTCCTCCTCCTCCTCTCTCCTCCCTCCCTCCCCCCTCCCTCCCTCCCTCCCTCCCTCCCTCCTCCCTCCCTCCCTCCCTCCCTCCCTCCCTCCCTCCCCCTCGCGTGCCCTGTCCCGTCGAGCCCGACGGAGCCACAGCTCCCGGCCTACCCCGCGCGCCGGGGCACTAAGAGAGGAGTCCGCGGCGCCTCGTGCGCTCCAGCGGCCAGAGGCCGGCGGCCCAGGAGTCCGGCACTTGGCATCGCTCGGACGTGTGCACTTTTCCTTCGGCGAGGGCCGTCGAGGAGCATCCTTGATCATTCGGCGAAAAAGCCACGCACGAATAAAAAACACAGGGAATGGGCGTCCGAGCGATGCCAGGGGCAGAGCTGCAGGGCCCCCCCCCCGAGTCTGAAGTGGGGCCTGTCCCTCTCCAGGAGGAACACTCAAACGTAGTCAAAAAATGATCTGGGGACGATTTTTGGATAATTTTTTGGTATTTTCGGGGGTATTTTTTGACCATTTGTCATTTTTCGTCCAACATCCCTTTGGTAGGGGGACAAGCCCGACTTGACCCGAGTCCCTGAATAGGCTTCGAACATAACTCTAAGAGGTACATGCTTCTGGGCCCCTTGTTTTCCTTCCCCGTCACGGTCCCAGACGGGCCCAAGACTGCCCCAGAGGGCCAGGACCAGACGGGCCCAGGGCAAGACTGAGCTATTTACAGAGAAGCCCTACAAGTCCGCAGGCGAGTCCGAACTTGCGCCAGGGCGATCCCCAGATGGCCCCCAAATCTGCCTAGCTCGGGCCTAAGACCCTGGCATGCCCCTGACATGCCCCCCAAAGCCCTCCAACAGGCTCCCAAGGTGTCTTGAAGACGTTCCCAAGAGGCCCCTGAGGGGCCGAGCCATTGAGCAATCTGCTGCTTCCAATTTGCTTTTTTACTCCTCGCCTTTCTGGGCGCTGGCCACATGGGGCCAAACTACTCAAGACGTTCCAGAGCCCCGCCACCCGTCTCCGCTTAATCCATCCGACATCCTCCTCACGACATCCGTCACCGCCGATTCGCCCTTGCCGTTTCCTACTCCACCAGCCACGTGTGCACACTCACTTCGCACGCAACGCGTCACACCAAGTGGGACGCGTTGATTGCGTAAGCAATGGGCGAGAACAGCGTCCATTGCGCAAGGGGCGGAGAACTCCACCCGTCTCCAGTCACCACCCGTTCAACCCGCCGCCATCACCATCGAGCATTTACCACCTCTCCCTTCAGCAACGTCTTGTCTGTGTGCTTCTCCTCTTGTGCGGCTGTGATGGCGGTCCTGGGCCACGACTCCATACTCCATTGCTCGTATTCATTGTCTGGCTTCTTCCGTTGATGGCTTTCACTGTGCCGCGCACACGTGCTGTCTATCTGTGCCAGGTAATCCCCTGGAGGCACGCCAACATCACCGACTGCATCGTGTGCTTGCCGTTTTGAGTTACTGTCCACCCTAGTCTGCTGCAATGCTGGAGTCAGCGCGTGCGAGAAAGGCGAGCAGTGGCCATGGGCTGTGGCATTGTTGCGCTGGATGTGGGAGGCAGATTTGGAGCACAGCACAATCGGCTACAGCGCTGGGATCAGCGCTTGCGAGAAAGGCAATCAGTGGCCGTGGGCGATTGCCCTGCTCAGAGAGATGTTGCAGGTGAGTTTAGAGCCCGACACTATTACCTACAACGCTGGGATCAGCGCGTGCAGAGGCGGCGAGCAGTGGCAGCGGGCCCTGTCGCTGCTCAGCGAGATGCGGGGGACGAGGATAGTTCCGAGCGTCCTGAGCTACAGTGCTGGGATCAGCGCGTGCGAGAGAAGCGAGCAGTGGCAACGGGCTCTAGGGCTGCTCAGCGAGATGACGGAGGCGAAGCTGGAGCCCAACTTAGGCGCCTTCCTCTTCCCTCCCCGCCCGGGGGCGCGAATTTAACCGCGCTGCCGCACGACCCTCCCGAGTTCTGGGCCAGGGGTAGGTCACCCGCAGGCTCGTGCATGCTTGACAGGTTGAGGCCATGCTTTCGCAGGGGGCTGTGGAACTTCGACAGAACGTGCAGGGTTTCCTGCAGAAGTCACTTCTGCAAGTGCGAGAGCGGTGTGTTCCAACTTTTTTGGCGTGGCCATTCTGCTATGCACGCGATCGTGTCGCGGCATTGCGCTGGCTCTGTGGCGCGCGAGCACGCCACGCCCTGTGCCGACTTCGGCAAGAGTTAGCGCGAGCGACGCTCTCGGCAAAGCCAAAAAAGTTTGCCTCTTCCTTCGGCCCGTTCAGATTCCGGTCTTTGGCTTCCAGTCTTCAGCGTGTATGCCCCTCTCAGCGGAAAGCCGCCAGAGGCCCGCAACGAGGTTTTATCAATAATCGGGCGCGACGCTGTCCAGAACTCCCTCCCCGCCCCCGTCGGTCCCATCGGGCCCCTCGCGCGGCGGTTGCTGTTTCGGTCCTATTTAGGTCCATTCAGCCCCCCCGCATGGTTTTTCAGTCTTCTCTGGGGTACCAGGCTACGCGTGAGAGTGACCTTTCGTCGGAGTGATCTTCTGTCGCGGGCGCAAGGGCCCCCCCCAGCACTGGCTGGCGCGCCTGGGTTTGGCCTCCCCGTGGGCCCCCTCGAGCCGCGCACCAAAGGCCACTGCTGCCCAGGGTCAATCTTGCTTGCGTGGTGCCGAGGGCTGGCCTTCCTTCTCCTGCTGTGCCCCGGTCAGGCACCGCAGTGCCCCTCGACTGCCCCCCACCACGGCGTGGATCCGCGCCGCTGCGACCAGAAGCGCAGCCGAGGGATCACCCCCGCAGCCGCGGTGGCGCGGAGTGTCAGGGCGCCAGGGGCGGGGGGCGCAGCAGACGGGGGCACGGGGAACGCCGACCTCACCCCTGGCCCTGCCCCCGTTTTTTGGGGGCCCCGGGCGCCGTAGACAGGGGGGCAGAGCACACGGGGACGCACGGAGAAGCCCGAGCTCCTGTTCCGCTGAGCTCCCGTGTGCGAAACCCCGAGAGTGTACCAGCCGCGAACTTATCCCTATCCCTAAGATTGACACGCCAAAAGGCGACGACCATCTTAGGGATGCGCCCTCAAAAAATAAGGGAACCCCTAAGATTGGCATCGTGACGAGGAGATGCCTAGCATAGGGACAGGGACATGTTCCAGGCTGGTACAGAGTGCCCCTCCCCCCCGTGGCTCGGTCGGCGGACAGGGAGGGCTGGAGCCCGCCGGCGCAGGCCTCGCTGCCGCGCGCGGCGGTTGCAGGCCCTCGGTCGGGGCACAGTGGGCTGCAGGCGCTGGCAGCTGTACAGCGCCGGTTTTAAGACATGCTCCGCGTGCGGATCATGTATCAAAAATGCAGGGATTTAGTATTAAAAACAACGATAAGTTCATGCATAAGTTTATTCCTAAATTGATCAGGTATGAAACATCCAATATTTAATACAAGATCCCATGTAATAAAAACTCTCCTGTACGAGCGGGCAGGGCGCAGGAGATGCTCACAGGGGGACGACAGTCAGAGGCGGAGCGAGGCACCGCCACAGCCACCCTTCCTTGGCTTGCGCCCTCTCTGCGTCTCCTGGGAGGCCCTCGTCGCCAGTCCCCCCGATTCGCTCCGAGAGCATGGCCAGAGTGCACCCCAGGAGAGGCCTGGGGAACAGCGGTGTCGGTGCGCTCTGGTTTCCCCACGAACGCGGTAGAAGATAGACTTTCCCCCTGTCTGGGACGCCGGCCCCCAGGGCGGCTGGCAAGCTCCTGGCCCAACGTGGCGCCGTCGGGATACAACCTTTGCAGCCGCCCGGGGGCAGGCGTCCCCGACGGCAGACACGTCTTGTTTACACTGTGCCTCGCCCGCTTGGCGCTCGGGGAATCTCGCGGGGTTGTGCTGCGCCACCGCGCCACCGCCCCCACGAGCTCGTTCGCTGCCTCCTGCTGCCTCGCGCCTCCCCCCCTGCTTCCTCCCTCCTCCCTCCTGCCTCACTACCTCCGGCTTCCTCCCTCCTCCCTCCTCCGTCCTCCTGCGTCCTCCTTCCCTCGCCCTCTTCCTACTTTCTCCACCGTCATCATCGTCGCAACATTGCACATTTGGAGCGCTTTGCGGAACGCTGAACAGGAGGAGGATTAGGAGAAGGGTCATAGGATAGGCGGGAACCAGAGCCTGGTGGAAGTAAGTGATTTGGGACGATTGCAGCTCATATTCGTAGAGAATTCAATGCAAGGTCGGCTCTCATCGCGTGCCGCCCAATCTTCAAATTCCTGGTGCACTTCCCCCGTAGCTCCTGCCGTGAATTTCATCTACGTGTTCACTCTACCGGTCAGTTATAACGCTGGGGTTAGCGCGTGCGAGAAAGGCAAGCAGTGGCAGTGGGCACTGGCCCTACTCAGCGAGGTGTGCGGGGCGAGGCTGGAGCCTGATTCCATCACTCAAAACGCTGGGATCAGCGCGTGCGAGAGAAGTGGCCAGTGGCAGAAGGGCCTGTCGCTGCTTGACGAGATGCGGGATGCCAAGGTGGAGTCCAACGCCATCAGCTTCAACGCTGGGATCGCCGCCTGCGCGGCGGGCATGCGGTGGCAGCAGGCTCTGTCGCTTCTCGGTGACATGCGCGAGGCGAGACTGGAGCCTGATGTCGTCGGCTACACCACTGGGATCAGCGCGTGCGGGAGCTGCGAGCGGTGGCAGCAGGCCCTGTCGCTGCTCGGCGGCATGCGCGAGGCGGAGCTGGAGCCCAACGTGCTCCACTCTACAGGGCCGGCCGCAGAGCCTGCGGAAGGTGCGGTCCGTGGCAGCGACCTCGCCCTCGACCGATCTGGGGGAGTTTCCCAGCGTCCCCCGAAGGAGCCCTCCGAAGCGTGCCGAAGGCGCACCACACAGGGCCCGAATGGCCCTCCGCCCCCCCCCCCCCCGCAGGGAGGCCCAGCGAGGCCCCGACGACGGCCCGAGAGGCCCGCACCCCGCCCCCACCGGCGCCAGCAGGGCCGCGTCCAGAGGCCCCGCGGGGCGGCAGGGAAGGGGCCGAGGTCCCTCGAGACCGCCCCCCGCGCTTTCTAGCAGCGGCGCGCAGGCGTCCCAATGGACGCCGAGGTGGCCCCAAGAGACCCCGGGAGGGCCACCAGCTGGCCCGCTCCTCCTCCTCCTCACCTCCTCCTCCTCCTCCTCCTCCTCCTCCTCCTCCTCCTCCTCCTCCACCTCCTTCCCTTGTCGCTTTGAGGCGAAGGCTCGTAGCCCCGAGTCCTGGCCAGGAGGAGGAGGAGGCGGAGGAGGAGGTCGTGGCTCGGAAAGTGGTGTCAACTCGACGCATTTCTCGTGTGCCCCTTCGAACTTGGTTCGAGCCGAGCACAGGGGCCCTCCCCAGCCGTGAGACAGAGTCGGCGTCGGCATCCCTCCGTTTTTCGGGCCCCCCTTGTCGAGGCCACCGATGTGAGGTGTTGAGCAACTGCTCGGTCTCCGTATTCGGCGTCCCGCCAACATCTTTATACTATGTGTTCGTCGCCCCCCCAGGAGCGACGCGCGCACCGAGAAATCTTATAGCATATGCGTCGTGGCGGGCGCTTTCTGGCCACACCGCTCGAGAAACGATAGATACTACAAGGTAGGCACACTATCTGTTCGGGTCGGACGCGCGCCTCCAAGGCGGACATCTTGTATTAGTATTATGTCGGGCGTGTCCCCCTACAGTGGGATTTTCGACGAAAAATAAAAAAATACCCCCAAAATACCCCAAACAGGTAAAACAAATAATCAGAAAATAGTCCCCAGACTATTTTTGGACTATTTTTTGATTATTGTTGGGGTATTTATCTTTCGTCGAAAATCCCCCTGTGTGGGGGACAGGCCCGACTTAATATTAGTATGTCTCTGTGCGTCCCACGTATTCTGGCAGTGTGCGACGGCGTGGAGCGGCAGCAGCAGGAGCAGACACACCCTCTTGGGCCATCCTGAGGCCATCTTGGAGCCATCCTGGCCCGATCTGAGGCCACCTGGGAGCCACCTTGGAGCCACCTTGGAGCCACCCTGGCCCGAGATTCAGAAGGCATCTTGGACCCTCTTGGGGCCGTCCTGGAGGCACGCGGCAGCTCCCAGCGGCGTGGCGAGGAGGCGAAGCACACGGCCGCGGGGAGACAAAAGCAGCGCGCGGCGAGGCGGCGGCGGGCACCCCGCGGGGGGGGCGCGCCTCGAGGGCGAGAGAGGCCGCGGCGAGGAGCGGCCGCGCGCACGGCGCGCGGGGACCGCGGGGGGGCCCCGGGCCGCCCGGGCGCTCCGGGCCTCTCCCCCGTTTTTTTTTTTTTTTGAAAGCCCGTGGTCCCCTTGCCAGGAAGGGGGGTAAGTAGCGCGGCTGTCACGAGCGAGGGGGGGAGGAAGGGGGGTCCTTTTGGGGGCCACGACGCGAACCCTACCCCCCTACCCCCCACGACTTCTGAGGGGGAGGGTGGGGTTCACTCCGTTCGGGAGCTCCCGAGCGAAGGGAGCCCCTCACCCTCCCCCCCTCAGAAATCGTGGGGGGTAGGGGGTAGGGTTCGCGTGTGGCCCCCTGGTCCCCTTGCCAGGACGGGGGGTAATTTGCACGGTTGTCACGAGCGAGGGGGGGGAGGAGGGGGGAGAGGCCAGCGGGGGAAGGAGGGAGCAAGGCCGGGCCCACGGGCGCCCCTGCCGTGGAGGCGATCCACGGTCGCATTCGTTGCAGAGCTCCTGCGTGTCGGAGGGTTCTTGCATCGATGGAGGGTCGCGCGCCCCGGGGATGCTCCAGAACAGCTCCACCCGCTCCCAAGACGCTCCAGGAGATTCCCAAGATGGCCCAAAGACGGCCCAGGATGGCAGAAGACGGCCCATGAGAACCCGAAGACATCCCAAGATAGCTCCCAGCTCGCACAAGAGGGCCCCAGGGCGGCCCAAGAGCGCCTCAAGACGGCCCAAGATTGCTGCCAGACGGCCCAAGAGCCCTAGAGGCCCCCAAGACGCCCGAGGGAATCCCGTTGAGGACCCCCGAGAGTGCATCTGGAAGTACAAATTCTTGATTCCACTTTCGGTTTTTGAAGGGTTTTCGTAGACTCGGCTCTCGGAGCATCAGAACGTCCAAGACGGCCCACGAGGCCCCCCAGATCGCCCCAGGACGGCTCATGAGGCACCCCGAGCGAGCCCCAAAACAGTCCACCGTGGCTCCAAGACTGCCTGTGTGGCCCTTAAGACAGTCCGAGAGGTCACGAAGATAACACAAATATGGAGCTACGACCAGCGCGAGCGAGAAGGGCATGCAGCCTCACCAAGCTTTGGCGCTGCTCAGGGACGCGTCATTGTGCCCAGCTTGCACGAAACGACCGATTGGAGATGCTGTTCTCTGGCCTCCGGGCTGCCTCGTCGGGGCGTCTCCTCGCATTCCCCCAGACAGCGTGTCGCAACTATTCTTCTTCTCTTTCGCCAAGACGCCCACTGCCTCCGAGTGCTCTGTTCGGGGGCACTCTGGACCGACTCTGTGTCGCGCCTGGAGACACCGAACGTGTCGGATAATGCCAGGTTTCGATGGTATTTTCAGCATTCTGTCTTTTCTTGCCTCTGCCGCGCAGGCACCTCGTTGCAGCGGGCTGTGGGACCGTCTCGGCAACCCGGGAGGGTGCCCGGAGAGCCCCAGGAGGATCCAAATATTGCTTCACGAGGCCCATGACAAGTGTCACAGAGGCGTGTTCCTGGGAGGGTGCCGATGTTTGCGTTTCGCGCTCGTCTCTGTGCGCCTCTTGAGGCCCTCTTTGGCGCTCCTGGCACCGGCTCTGGGCGCCATGCCCACTTTCCTGCACGAGGCAGTCCAGAATCGTCCAGGCCTCCCCATGCTTTTCCCGTCTCCTGCCGTAGCGTTAGCTTCCAGGGTGGTCTCCCTCTCAGGCACGCTCGGCGCCAGAGCGTGCTCGGCGCCAGTGGCATGCTCATCCGGCGCTCCTCCGCGCACCCGTGCGCTGCCTGTCAACGCGTTTTCCACGCGTGCCAGTGTTCAGCAAGAGCCCGTGAAACAGGCTCAGCTAGGTATGGGATCCAGGCGCCTCCCGTGGATGTTCATTCGCTGGTTCGCTCCAGTCACCTTCAATGCTGGGATCAGCGCGTGCAAAAATGGCGAGCCGTGGCAGCACGCTCTGGTGCTGCTCAGCGAAATGTCGGAGGTACAGGTCGAGCCTGATATCCAAAGTTACAATGCTGGGGTCTACGCGTGCGGTAGAGGTATGGAGTGGCAGCGGGCTATAGGCTTGCTACGCGAAATGTGGAAGGCGACGTTGCAGCCCAACGACGTAACGTACGTCGCTGGAATCAGTGCGTGCGAGAAAGGTGGGCAGTGGCAAGTGGTGTTGGAGCTGCTGGCGCTGGCAGTGCAGGTTTCGTCTCGCTTATGCGGCGAGATGCAGGAATGTGGGATCTGGAATTTGAGCAGATCGCCATCTCTACATGGCGGAGAGCCTGGTGCGTGCGAGAATGTCCAGGGTCGTTACCGCGGAAAAAAATGGTATCCACCAGACCCCAGGAAGCACCAGTCTGCCCAGGACGGTCCCAAAGACGGCCCATTACTCCACCCAGGCACCGTACGATGGCCCAAGTTGGTTCCACACGGGCCAACGACGCTTACAGTACCCCCTCCAAGTGGCCTCAAGACGTCCCCAGGCGGGGCACAACAATTCTACAAGCCCCCCGCAGGTTGCCAAGGTGCTCCAAAGGCGTCCCCTAAGGGGCCTCCCAGAGGCTTTCCAGAGGCACCTCGGAGGCAAAGCATTGAAGCTTGTGTAAGGATCCTCCTTTGCCACCCTGCATCGTCGATGTCAGCCTGCGCCCAGCCTCCATTTTCGGCCCCTGGGCCTCCCGCGTGACCTCGAAGCTGTCCCCACGGAGGCCCGAGTCAAAGTCAGCGATCAGGATGGAGTGGGAGGATACAGGCGGTCCGGATTAGCAGGTCGACCCTGCCGAGTCAAGGGTACCCTTGCGTCCCGTGCCTCGCGACCCACGCCTCCTGCATCCCCCACGGCAGTGTGGCCCTCGGCAGGGTCTTGTGTCCTCTCGCGTGTGCTGCCCAAGCAAGTCCGACTGTACAAGGCCCCCTCTGCCTCCTCCCCCGGGGGCGCGCCGCCGAATCCACTCTTCCCCGACGGCACCACCAGACTCAGGAGGAAAAGAAACACACAGACACAATTCATCCTCGATTCCCCAGGAAAGTATGGGAAACTATGGGAAGTGGGGGGGGAGACAGAAGCCCAGAAAATAGGAGAAAATACGGGGCATCTTTTTATCTGCGTGTCTTTCTTCGTGTGTCCTGGGGGCCCCTTCGCGGACGTGGCCCCCCGCGGCGACAACCTGCGTGGGGCGGCGCTCGGCGCGCCCCCCTCGGAGGACTGCTGCGCCGCCGCGTGCGGCACCGGCGCGGGCGCCGGCCCCGGGGGCCCCGTGGATGGCGGTGCGGGCGGGCCGCCAAGCGACGCCTCGCCGTCGCCGCCGCCTCCGCCGCCGCCGCCTCCGCCGCCGCCGCCGCCGTCTCTGCCGCCGATGTCGTCGTCGTCGTCGTCGTCGTCGTCGTCGTCGTCGTCGTCGTCGTCGTCGTCGCGGTTCTCCTCGTCCTCGCCCTGGTCCTCCTGCGCCTGCTCCTGTGCCTGCCCCTGCTCCTCGTCCTCCTGCTCCTCCCTCGCATCCCAGTCTTAACTCGGGCCTGTCCCTCTACAGGGGGAATATTCAAACATAGTCAAAAAATAGTCTGGGGACTATTGTTTGATTTGTTTTTCCATTTGGGGGGCATTTTTTGATTATTTTTCGCCCAAAATCCCCCTGTAGGGGGACACGGCCGACTTAATCCCAGTCCTCCCTTGCGTTCTCCTCGTTTTCGTTCTCCTTCTCCCTCCTCCTCGCTCCGTCCTTATTCCCCACCAGTGTTTGCACTGAAGGGGTCCTAGCGGATATATTGAAAGATTCGGCGAAAGTGTCTGGCCGATTTCGGTGGGCGGCCTGGTTCCCGGGTTTCCCGCTCTGGGTTCCCCGCTCCGGGTTCCTCGCTCCGGGTTCTCCGGTTTCCAGTTGCTGATTCCGGGCCGATTTCGGTGGGCGGCAGGATTCCTGGGTTCCCAGGTTCCTGGGTTCTTGGTCGATCTCCTTATCGATCGGTGTCACCATCGATCTCATTACGCGCCTCACTATTGATTTCACGATCGATCCCCCAATCGTATCGCTTTCACAATCGATCTCAATAGAGATCGCACGAGCGATCTCACGATCGATCTCACTATCGCTCTCACTGAATCGACTTCACTATCGGTCTCACGATTTCACTATCGATCTCACAATCGATCGCAAGACGTTTCCATGCCACTTCCTTTCAAACCGTCCAATGTTAGGTTTTTTTTTTCTGGTGTACTTCTTCCCCTGCCTCCTTTCTCTAACTGTGCCTTCGGGCTCTAGCACAGTGCTGTGCGAGGCCTCCCAGTTCTTCTCACCTGCCATGCGGCTGCCGACCTTGCTGGCGAGCGTGCTCCTGCCGCTGCCGCAGGCAGCGCGGAGGGCTCCGAGCGTGACCGCGTGCCTCCTCCGACGCTGTCGAGCCGGGCTGCAGCAGCAGGGCCGAGGACCTGCATTCGGGGGCAACGATAGGGGGGGGTAGGCACAGGGGGGGATGCATCGACCCCCAGTCGCCCATGGATCGCCGATGGGGGCCCGATGGCCCCGACCTGCCCAGGAAGGTGCGGATTCGCTCTCGGAGGCCCGTCGCTGCTCTATCGGCGAGGTATCGCCGACTGCAAGGTCGATGTTTCTCCCCCTATCCCTATCCCCCCTTATCGTTGCCCCTCACGCACGGCGAGCCTCACGAGGAGCTGCCCCGGGAGGGGATCGCCACCAGGCCCGCTCGCAGGGCGCGTGCTCAGGCAGGCGCCAGCTCCTCGTGCGCGAGGGCCCGACGCTTGCTGACTCGCAGAGGCTCTCGAGGGGCCTCGGTGCTCCTCCTCCCTCCTCCCTCCTCCCTCCTCCCTCCTCCTCCTCCTCCTCCTCCTCCTCCTCCTCCTCCTCCTCCTCCCTCCTCCTCCTCCCTCCCCCCTCCTCCCTCCTCCCTCCTCCTCCCTCCTCCTCCTCCTCCTCCTCCTCCTCCTCTTCCTCCTCCGGTGGATGCCCTCCAAGCGGCGCGCCGCGGGCCCCTGGCCGACGAGAGGGGCCGCTGGGGGCGCGGTGCCCGCCGCAGGCCGCCCGCTGCGCCGGACGGCAGCTCGGCGCAGGGCTGCCTTTCGACACCCGCCAGGGCTGCACGCGGGGTGGCGCCTGCATACAGTCGGGGCGCTGAAGAAGGAACCCTTTTCGTTGGGGAGGGGCTCCGCGTTCCTTAAGTGTTTCACAGCTTGCCTCAGGCTTTCCTTATGTTTTCGACAGGAAGTCGAAGGTTAACTTATGGACAAAAGTGGCCTCGTTCCTTATTTAGGGTTCCTTAGGTCAGCGCCTCGACTGTATTCTTGTGCGGGTGCGACTGGCCTCAAGTCGGGCCTGTCCCCCTACAGGGGGATTGTCGACGAAACATATAAAGTACCCAGACGTAGTCAAACAATACGCCAAAAATAGTCTGGGGACTATTTTTTGGGGTATTTTGATTTTTTCGGCGAAGATCCCCCTGTAGGGGGACACGCCCGACATAAGACTGGCAGCTGCGCTCCCTGTGCCAAATCAAGGCGTGTGCATGTTGCACCGCCTTCCTCACCGTCTGATGCGGCGTCGCCGAGCCTGACCAGCCCCGTCGACATCGCCACAGGCGGTGGGCCGCCACCTCTGTCCACAACGGCGGGAGGCTTGGGCTCACTGAGAGCGGGTCCCTTTTGCGCACCTGGCCGCCGACAGCCGCGCTGGGAACGCTGTCCGGGGCCCTCTCTCGTTCCCCCTCCCCTTCTTCCTTTCTCTGCGTTCCTCTCTCCCTGCCCCTTTCAGCCCCTTGAGGTTCACAAGCGATTGTCAATATCCCTCGGGATTTCCTGCGCCCAGAGGCGTGAAGACAATTCCTCGAGGTTGTTGGGCGTGTCGCCCCTCCCACGGGAAGCTGCGGGAGCCCGAAGACAGCCGCGCTTCGCGCGTCGGGCGACTGGTTATCGGCCACAGGCGGCGCTGGCCGAGACCTGGGACGGTGCAGCCCGCGCTGGCCAAGTCGCCCCCGCGTGACGGGCCCCCACCTCCTCGCGCCGCACTCGTGGGGCGGAGGCGCCAGCGTGGATGTGCGGCGCCTGTGATGGTAAGAGGGGGTCAGGAGGCAAACAACAACACGCAGACATAGTCAATCGGGGGGAAGGCTAGAGTCCAGAAAGTATTGGAACACATTGGGGAGCCCTGGGATGTGTGTGTGTGTTTTTTCTTGGTGTGTTCCTGGGCCCCTTCAGGGTGTGTGTGTGTGTGTGTGTGCAGGGGAGTGACAACCGCCGCGACGACCCGCCAGCGGGGCTGGCCCGCTGGCGGGCGGCACCCGCACGCCAGAGCTTAGTTTTACGTGGAGGGCAGGTGTCGGCCCGCGTGGACCCCGAGCAGTGTGCGTCCGAGCAATCTGTGTGGCAGTTAATTCATCAAGCCGTGCGCTCATACGACGTATTGGCAGATCAAAGTTGATGGAATCACTCTGTGGAGGGAGGGCGAAGCAGGAGGACGACGGAGGAGGAGGAGGAGGAACACAGGGAGGGGTACGAGACAACACTTAAAAGCGAATGAGTTGGCAGAATATCAACTATACAGTGCAGTTTTAATAATGCTCCGCGTGCGCATCATGTATTTAAACATGCAGGGATTTAATATTAAAGACAACGATGGGATCATGCATAAATTTATTCTTAAGTTAATCACGGATTAAACATCCGATATTTTTAAAACATCCCATGTATTGAAATCTGCCCTGTACACGCCAGGGGCGCACTGCTGGGAAAAGGTCGGTCCCTGCTCAAGGCAGGGGGGGCGGACGGGCTCAGGGGGGGGGGGGAGATGCGCCGACCCCCAATCGCACCTGCATCGACGCCGGGGGCCCGACGCGACGGCCCACCCTGCCCGGCACAGTGCGCCCCCGTCGCCATCGGGGGGCCCGCTGTCGCCGCTCTTGTGGCGAGGTACCGCCGACGGCAGGCCGATGCTCCCCTCCCCGAGCCAGTCCCCCCCTACAGTGCCGTTTTTAATACATGCTCCGCGTGCGGATCATGTATTAAACATGCAGGGATTCAGTATCAAAGACAACGGTGAGTTCATGCATACATTTTTTCATACATTAATCATGTATTGAAAATCCGATATTAAAAAGAACAACTTCCGTGCATTAAAAACTGCCCTGTACCGTGGGGGCGCGCAGCAAGAAACCAGATGTTTTTCTTCAGGGCATCCCGGCTCTCTTCGCACCGCGAGCTGCGCGGTGACTTCCCGCAGCCGCTGAAGCAGCTGGTGCGTTTGGGGTGCTCCGGGTTTCCCCTCGGGTGCACCTCGCGCGCGGGTTGTCAGGGTTGTGCTTCTTGCGAGGGTTTCTTGCGGCCGCGCCCGCACCGTATAGGTGGTGCTATCTATGTGGTGCTGTATGTGTTGTGGAATCGACGCTGTGCAATGTATGTTGTGCAACCCGTGTGGTGCAGTCTATGTGGTGCAGTCTGTGTGGGGCAATGTATGTGGTGTGATAGGTGTGTTGTAATATATGTGGTGCATTCTAGTGGCGTTGGCCGCCTGGGAGTGCAGAGTTGCGCCTGATGAAGATATCACAGCCCGCAGTCGCGAGCCACGAAACATGAGCCATGAGGGGAAGGAGGAGGAGGAGGAGGAGGAGGAGGAGATGGGATAATATAGGTGGGGGAGGAGGGAGGGAGGATGGATGAGGGAGGAGGGAGAGAGGAAGGGAGGGAGGGAGGGAGGAGGAGGAGGAGGAGGAGGGAGGCGGATAGGCGGAGGAGGAGGATGAGGAGGAGGAGTAGGATGAGGATGAGGATGATGATGATGATTCTGATGGTGATGCTGATTCTGATGCTGATGCTGCTGATGATGATGATGATGATGCTGATGCTGATGATGATGCTGATGATGCTGATGCTGATGCGGATGCTGATGCTGATGATGCTGATGATGAGGATGATGATGAGGATGATGATGATGATGAGGATGGCTATGATACTGATGCTGATTATGTTAATGCTGCTGATGCTGCGGCTCATGATGCTGATGATGATGCTGCTGCTGATGATGATGCTGCTTGATGATGATTGCTGATTGGTTGATGATGATGCTGATGATGATGTTGCTGATGATGATGGTGATGCTGCTGCTGATGATGATGATCATGCTTGATGATCATTGCTGATTGGTGATGCTGATGATACTGATGATGCTGCTGCTGCTGCTGATGATGCTGCTGCTGATGATGATGCTGAGGCTGAGGCTGATGCTGATGCTGCTAATGCAGATGAGGATGCTGATGAGGATGCTGCTGCTGATGATGACGATGATGCTGCTGCTGCTGCCACTGATGCTGATGATGCTGATGATGATGAGGCGGAGGAGATCTGGAACTGTGCCAGAACACCATTCCTGACTTTCATCGCCGCGAGTCACCATTACGCATGCGTCTTGACGATCCCGAATCGTGCCAGATCGCCATTCTTGGGACTTCAACACAGCGAATCAACATGACTTTTGCGACCTGACAGTCCGAACTCGAGCCAACACACCTTGTCTGGGATGTTAGCCATGAGTCCCTGAACTTGCTGTTAGACTCTGGGAACGAATGGCGGCGCTAGGGCGCGAGCCACGTTTGAAAAAGAACCGCTCTCCATCCCTGAAACCCTTGCAGTTTCTTAAGACATATGTGCGCGGCGCTAAAGCGAGAGCCACATTTTGAACTCGCCCATCTTCCATCCATGAATCCCTTGCACACTTCATCTTACTAATCATTCGTGGTGATGAAGTCTCAGGCGAAACGCCCGCCCCCCTATACCGACACGCCTCGGGGTGCGACAGGAAGGAGTTAATGGGGTGTGACAGGGAGGAGGAGGAGGAGGAGGAGGAGGAGGAGGCGGAGGAAGAAGAGGAAGAGGAGGAGGAGGAGGAGGAGGATAGGCGTAAGAGAGGTAGGGGAGGGAGAAGAGGAGGAGTGGTATGATTGCATGGAGGAGGATGTGGCGGCGGTAGAGAATGAGAGGGATGGATGAGGAGTAATTATGGAGGTGGTGGAGGCGGAGGGAGGAAGCGAGGAGGAGAAGGAGCAGGAGGAGGAGAAGGAGGAGGAAGAGGAGTGGAAGGAGGATGAGTGCAACCGATAAGCAGAAGGATGGTAGGACGAGGAGGAGGAGGAGGGAGGAAGCGAGGAGTAGGAGGAGGAGGAGGAGAAGGAGGAATAGGAGCAGGAGGGGGGATCGTAGTAAACCCAAGGTGCGTCAGCGATGCTGCAACACGCGTTCTCTGTGCAGGTCCCCCCTTTCATTATTTCCCACAAGCTGACCAACACCAGATGGGCCGTGGGCCCGTAATTCAGGCTGGATCCCCGCTTCGAGCAGACGTTGCCCTGCATGTGTCCAGCGCCGAGTCAGGAATACGACAAAAGGTATGGCCACACGGTCTAAAGAGGTGTCCAGCGACCTGCCCGTTTGGAACAGGGGCCGCCCCCCCCCCTCCTTGTGACCACTGCGCAAGTATACATGACGAGCGAACGACACACACACACCCATACAGTCGGGGCGTTGACCTAAGGAACCCAAACTAAGGAACGAGGCCCCTTTTTTACACAAGCTAAACTTCGATTTCCGATCGAAAACATAAGGAACACTTGAGGCAAGCTGCGAAACACTTAAGGAACGCGGAGCCCCTCCCCAACGAGAAGGGTTCCTTCTTCAGGGCCCCGATTGTATTCCATACCCACAGGGGACTGAGGGGGCTATGGGTGCTTGTTCTCGGATGGGGGTCCCCGCTTGAACGGGAGCCTCCTCAGGGCTCCGACAACCCGCACCCATCGTACAGTCGGACCGCGGTGTAAGATCGAGGTCGGTTCGGGGAGTGCACCTTAGTGTTCTTCGTGTTTGTTGGCTGTTCTTGTGCATCCTTGGGAGAGTATTGGCCGACGGAGGGTCTTGACGGAGGGTCTCATGTTCTTGGAGGATGTTCTCCTGTCTAGGTCCGTCTGCACCCATAGCCTGGCCTCCTCCCTCCGACCCCCTGGGCAGGGGTGTGGGTTGCTCGCTCGTCAGTGCACGTCCGGTCGTGGACACCAGAAGTCATGAGCGAAAGCCGCTTTCTGAGAACGAGCCGCCATGAGTCTGTGCAGCTGCTGCGTGTGTTGAGGTCTATGGTCTTCCTCGAAACTTACATAGAAGACTCGAGCAAGAACACCTTTTCTGAAAACGACCTGTGCTGCGTCCTTGAAGCTGTCACAGCACAAGCTTTCAAGACAAAGGTGCGCGACGCTCAGGCGAGAGCCCGTGGTGAAGCAGAGCAGCACCTTTCTGAGACTGCTGCGAGGTTTTAGGACGAGTGTGCGCGGCGCGACATCCCCATATTGAAGTCCATCTGCCCTTCTTGAAGCTGTTACACACTTTCTTAGACGACTGAATGCGGCGCTCAGGCGAGAACCCCGCATTGAAAACCACCCGCCCTTCATTTTAGAAGATGCTGCTTTTTTAAGACGACTGTGTGCGGCGCTATGCCGTCGACCCCCAGAATGAAAACCACCCGCCCTCCATCTTTGTAGCTGTTGCAAAAAGATACAGACGAATGCGCGCTTCGCTAAGGCGAGATCCCCATTAGGCAACGACCTGTGTTACATCTTGTAGTGCTGTGAATGCCCAGGTCCGTGATCATGATTGGTGGGGAGGTCTCAGGCTACACGCCTGGCCCACCCTGCCGACACGTTCGTGGGCGCGACAGGGGGATGATTATCCATGAGGAGCAGGGATGGAGGAGGAAGGAGGAAGGAGCAAGGGAGAAGGAGGAAGCAGGGAGCAGGGAGGAGGGAGGAGGGAGAAGGAGGAAGTAGGAAGGGAGAAGGAGGAAGTAGGGAGAAGGAGGAAGTAGGGAGGAGGGAGAAGGGAGGATGTAGGGAGAAGGAGGAAGGGAGAAGGAGGAAGTAGGTAGGAGGGAGGAGGCAGGCGCAAGACGAACCTCGGGAGCAGGGCAGTCGGCCCGGCCGTGGCCGGTCCAGGCGCGGACTGCGGCAGCTCGTCCTGCTGTGGCGGCCGCGGGACGGACGCGCCGCCCCCAGCGAGCGAGCGCGCGCGCGCAGTGGAGTCGGCGACGGCCGGGACGCCCGACGACGGCGGTGGAGGCAGCGGCGACGGCGACGAGGACGGTCGGGAGAACCATGACGACGACTTTCACGAGAAGGTGGAGGAGGAGGAGGAGGAGGAGGAGAAGGAGGAGGAGGAGGAGGGGCGGCGGCGGACGCAGCATCGGACGTTTGAGGAGGAGGGATGGGACGGTGCGAGGAGGATTCAGAGGGACGCAGGGGACTAGGGGAGGGAGAAGGGGATGGGGGGACGTGAAGGGGAGGGCGGAGAAGGGAGAGAAGGGGGAGGGAGGAGGGGGATGAGGCGCTTGAATACTATTGTCGTGCTTGTCCCTCGTCGTCGTCGTCCTCCTCCTTGTGCTCTTCCACTTCATCCCTCTTCCTTCGCACGGAGAGTGCACGGGCAATAAGTTTCACGGGTAGCTCTGCCCCGCTTGTTCTTCCCAGGTCAAGGTTTTTTGCAAGAGTTTGCCTATTGCAGGTCTGCTTATGTGGCGTTTCGGATTTTTCTGGCGACTAGCTGGTTCACATAGTGGTCTTACGTAAGCGTGGTGTTGAGCTCTGGTGGTCGCACTCCCCTTACCTCCCAAATCATTCCGACGGTTGGAGCCCGCCTGAGAATCTTCATAATGAATCTAGTCTAGCAGTGATGTTTGTCGTCGTCCTCCTGAGTGCAGAGGCTTTCTGCCTGTTTCCTTTTCGCCCTTCTCCTTGGTGGAGACCTTCTTCCGCCCCATGCTGTGCCTTACCTCTCATCCTCTTGCCTCTTCTCTTTCATCCACCTCCTCCCCGGCCCCTGTATGCAAGGGCGCGCATGTCGGATTCCCTTAGCGCCGTCGCCATCTCGGCCAGCATGGGCGCGTCCTCTGATGGCCAGATCGCGAAGCCGTACAGTGGGCCTCACATGGAGGGGCTCCCGCTCGAGACATCTTTGCGGTTCACTAACAGACGAGGCTGCCGAACGAGACTTCCCCACGATTTACTCAAGCATTCTGCCTGCTGGACTATGCTGCTGACCCGCTCGGATTGCCAACATGAGGTGGGGACCCCATAAGGAGTGGGCTCCCGCTCGAGTACTCCGGGCGATCCGCTCACAGATGAGGCTCCCGTTGGTGACATCCCCACGATCTGTCCCTTGAGGCTGCTCAAGTGCTGCACATCCCACGCTGTGCCGATGACCCGCTCGGATTGCCAACGTGAGGCGGGGACCCCATAGGGAGAGGGCTCCCGCTCGAGTCTTCCTCGCGACTCGCTCACACGTGAGGCTCCCGCTCGAGATTTCCTCGCTCAAAAGTGCTACCGGCGGCCCGCTCGGATTACCGACGCGAGGCGGGGTCCCATAGGGCGAGGGCTCCCGCTCGAGTTTTCCTTGCGAGTCGCTCACAAAAGAGGCGTCCGCTCGAGACATCCTCGCGATTGGCCCTCTTGGGGTGTTCAATCTTTATACTTGCCACATATACTGCGCCGATGACCCGCTCGGATTGCCAACGTGAGGTGGGTACCCTAGTAGGGAGAGGGGTCCCGCTCGAGTCCTCCTCGCGATTCACTTACACATGAAGTTCCCGCTCCAGACGTCCCCACGATCTGTTCCTTGAGGCTGCTCAAGTGCTGCACATCCCACGCTGTGCCGATGACCCGCTCGGATTGCCAACGTGAGGCGGGGACCCCATAGGGAGAGGGCTCCCGCTCGAGTCTTTCCTCGCGATTCGCTCACACGTGAGGCTCCCGCTCGAGATTTCCTCGCTCAAAAGTGCTACCGGCGGCCCGCTCGGATTACCGACGCGAGGCGGGGTCCCATAGGGCGAGGGCTCCCGCTCGAGTTTTCCTTGCGAGTCGCTCACAAAAGAGGCGTCCGCTCGAGACATCCTCGCGATTGGCCCTCTTGGGGTGTTCAATCTTTATACTTGCTACATATACTGCGCCGATGACCCGCTCGGATTGCCAACGTGAGGTGGGTACCCTAGTAGGGAGAGGGGTCCCGCTCGAGTCCTCCTCGCGATTCACTTACACATGAAGTTCCCGCTCCAGACGTCCCCACGATCTGTCCCTTGAGGCTGCTCAAGTGCTGCACATCCCACGCTGTGCCGATGACCCGCTCGGATTGCCAACGTGAGGCGGGGACCCCATAGGGAGAGGGCTCCCGCTCGAGTCTTTCCTCGCGATTCGCTCACACGTGAGGCTCCCGCTCGAGACTTCCTCGCTCAAAAGTGCTACCGGCGGCCCGCTCGGATTACCGACGCGAGGCGGGGTCCCATAGGGCGAGGGCTCCCGCTCGAGTTTTCCTTGCGAGTCGCTCACAAAAGAGGCGTCCGCTCGAGACATCCTCGCGATTGGCCCTCTTGGGGTGTTCAATCTTTATACTTGCTACATATACTGCGCCGATGACCCGCTCGGATTGCCAACGTGAGGTGGGTACCCTAGTAGGGAGAGGGGTCCCGTTCGAGTCCTCCTCGCGATTCACTTACACATGAAGTTCCCGCTCCAGACGTCCCCACGATCTGTCCCTTGGGGTTCTCAAGTGCTGCACATCCCACGCTGTGCCGATGACCCGCTCGGATTGCCAACGTGAGGCGGGGACCCCATAGGGAGAGGGCTCCCGCTCGAGTCTTTCCTCGCGATTCGCTCACACGTGAGGCTCCCGCTCGAGATTTCCTCGCTCAAAAGTGCTACCGGCGGCCCGCTCGGATTCGCGATTACAAGTGCTGCACATCGCCGATGACCCGCTCGGATTGCCAACGTGAGGCGGGGACCCCATAGGGAGAGGGCTCCCGCTCGAGTCTTTCCTCGCGATTCGCTCACACGTGAGGCTCCCGCTCGAGATTTCCTCGCGCTACCGGCGGCCCGCTCGGATTACCGACGCGAGGCGGGGTCCATAGGGCGAGGGCTCCCGCTCGAGTGCGCTCACAAAAGAGGCGTCCGCTCGAGACATCCTCGCGATTGGCCCTCTTGGGGTGTTCAATCTTTATACTTGCTACATATACTGCGCCGATGACCCGCTCGGATTGCCAACGTGAGGTGGGTACCCTAGTAGGGAGAGGGGTCCCGTTCGAGTCCTCCTCGCGATTCACTTACACATGAAGTTCCCGCTCCAGACGTCCCCACGATCTGTCCCTTGGGGTTCTCAAGTGCTGCACATCCCACGCTGTGCCGATGACCCGCTCGGATTGCCAACGTGAGGCGGGGACCCCATAGGGAGAGGGCTCCCGCTCGAGCCTCGCGATTCGCGTGAGGGCTCAACGTGACTCCCGCTCCAGACGTCCCCACGATCTGTCCCTTGAGGCTGCTCAAGTGCTGCACATCCCACGCTGTGCCGATGACCCGCTCGGATTGCCAACGTGAGGCGGGGACCCCATAGGGAGAGGGCTCCCGCTCGAGTCTTTCCTCGCGATTCGCTCACACGTGAGGCTCCCGCTCGAGATTTCCTCGCTCAAAAGTGCTACCGGCGGCCCGCTCGGATTACCGACGCGAGGCGGGGTCCCATAGGGCGAGGGCTCCCGCTCGAGTTTTCCTTGCGAGTCGCTCACAAAAGAGGCGTCCGCTCGAGACATCCTCGCGATTGGCCCTCTTGGGGTGTTCAATCTTTATACTTGCTACATATACTGCGCCGATGACCCGCTCGGATTGCCAACGTGAGGTGGGTACCCTAGTAGGGAGAGGGGTCCCGCTCGAGTCCTCCTCGCGATTCACTTACACATGAAGTTCCCGCTCCAGACGTCCCCACGATCTGTCCCTTGAGGCTGCTCAAGTGCTGCACATCCCACGCTGTGCCGATGACCCGCTCGGATTGCCAACGTGAGGCGGGGACCCCATAGGGAGAGGGCTCCCGCTCGAGTCTTTCCTCGCGACTCGCTCACACGTGAGGCTCCCGCTCGAGACTTCCTCGCCCAAAAGTGCTACCGGCGGCCCGCTCGGATTACCGACGCGAGGCGGGGTCCCATAGGGCGAGGGCTCCCGCTCGAGTTTCCCTTGCGAGTCGCTCACACATGAGGCTTCCGCTCGAGACATCCTCGCGATTGGCCCTCTTGGGGTGTTCAATCTTTATACTTGCTACATATACTGCGCCGATGACCCGCTCGGATTGCCAACGTGAGGTGGGTACCCTAGTAGGGAGAGGGGTCCCGCTCGAGTCCTCCTGGCGATTCACTTACACATGAAGTTCCCGCTCCAGACGTCCCCACGATCTGTCCCTTGAGGCTGCTCAAGTGCTGCACATCCCACGCTGTGCCGATGACCCGCTCGGATTGCCAACGTGAGGCGGGGACCCCATAGGGAGAGGGCTCCCGCTCGAGTCTTTCCTCGCGACTCGCTCACACGTGAGGCTCCCGCTCGAGACTTCCTCGCTCAAAAGTGCTACCGGCGGCCCGCTCGGATTACCGACGCGAGGCGGGGTCCCATAGGGCGAGGGCTCCCGCTCGAGTTTCCCTTGCGAGTCGCTCACAAAAGAGGCGTCCGCTCGAGACATCCTCGCGATTGGCCCTCTTGGGGTGTTCAATCTTTATACTTGCTACATATACTGCGCCGATGACCCGCTCGGATTGCCAACGTGAGGTGGGTACCCTAGTAGGGAGAGGGGTCCCGCTCGAGTCCTCCTCGCGATTCACTTACACATGAAGTTCCCGCTCCAGACGTCCCCACGATCTGTCCCTTGAGGCTGCTCAAGTGCTGCACATCCCACGCTGTGCCGATGACCCGCTCGGATTGCCAACGTGAGGCGGGGACCCCATAGGGAGAGGGCTCCCGCTCGAGTCTTTCCTCGCGACTCGCTCACACGTGAGGCTCCCGCTCGAGATTTCCTCGCTCAAAAGTGCTACCGGCGGCCCGCTCGGATTACCGACGCGAGGCGGGGTCCCATAGGGCGAGGGCTCCCGCTCGAGTTTCCCTTGCGAGTCGCTCACAAATGAGGCTTCCGCTCGAGACATCCTCGCGATTGGCCCTCTTGGGGTGTTCAATCTTTATACTTGCTACATATACTGCGCCGATGACCCGCTCGGATTGCCAACGTGAGGTGGGTACCCTAGTAGGGAGAGGGGTCCCGCTCGAGTCCTCCTGGCGATTCACTTACACATGAAGTTCCCGCTCCAGACGTCCCCACGATCTGTCCCTTGAGGCTGCTCAAGTGCTGCACATCCCACGCTGTGCCGATGACCCGCTCGGATTGCCAACGTGAGGCGGGGACCCCATAGGGAGAGGGCTCCCGCTCGAGTCTTCCTCGCGACTCGCTCACACGTGAGGCTCCCGCTCGAGACTTCCTCGCTCAAGTGCTACCGGCGGCCCGCATGGATTACCAACGTGAGGCGGGGTTCTAGTGGGAGAGGGCTCCCGCTCGAGTCTTCCTTGCGATTCGCTCACAAATGAGGCTACCGCTCGATGTCTCACCTATATTGACAATGAAATGGCGACGGTGATAGCGATGATGATGCTTATGATGCTGATGATGTGCACGATGATGATGATGACGACGACGACGACGATGATGATGATGATGATGATGATGATGATGATGATGATGATGATGTTGATGCCGATGCTGATGCTGCTGCTGCTGATGATGATGCGGATTATGATGATGATTCTGCTGATGATGATGCGGATGATGATTCCGATGGTGATGCTGCTGATGACGAAGATGCTGCTGATTATGATGCTGCTAATTATGATGATGATGCTGATGATGATGCTGATGATGATTATGATGATGATGACCATGATGATTATGATGATGATGCTGATGACGATGCTGATGATGGCGAATATTGGGATGATGGTGAGGCTGATGATGATGCTGCTGATGATGATGCTGATGCTGATGCTGCTGATGTTGACAATGAGGATGATGATGCCGCTGCTTCTGCTGCTGATGATGATGACGATGATGATGATGATGCTGATGATGATGATGCAGATTATGCAGATGATGCTGATGCTGATGCTGCTGATGATGATGGTGTTGATCATGATGATGATGCTGCTGCTGATGATGATGATGCTGATGCAGATGATGATGATGATGATGATGATGATGATGATGATGATGATGATGATGATGATGATGATGATGATGCAGATGATGATGATGATGATGATGATGATGATGATGACGACGATGATGATGATGATGATGATGATGATGATGATGCTGATGATGATGATGATGATGATGACGACGACGACGACGACGACGATGATGATGATGATGATGATGATGATGATGCTGATGATGATGCTGATGATGATGATGATGATGATGATGATGATGATGCTGCTGATGATGATGATGATGCAGTGCACGATGATGGTGATGCTGACGACATTGATGATGATGCCGACGACGACGAGGACGATGCTGCTGATGCTGATAATGACGACGATGGTGGTGATGCTGATGACGATGATGTTGGTGTTCATTATGATCGTGAAATGGAAAGAGGGTCCACTTTGGATGTGAAACAAATGCTTGGGAGGATATGCTGGGCGGATGTGTGTGTGTGTGTGTATGTGTGTGTGCGTGTGTGCGCGCGTGTGTGTGTGTGTGTGTGTGTGTGTGTGTGTGTGTGTGTGTGTGTCTGGGGGGGGGTGAGGAGGAGGTTTGGGGGGGGGCTACTGTTCCTCCTCGTTTCCATCGTCCTCATATCCTCCGTCCTCTCCTCCTCCTGCTGCTCTCCTTCCCCTCCTCTTTCTCCTCCTCCCCATGGTCTGACTCTCACTTCTTCCCTCTCCCCCCTCCCTCGTCTCCTCCTGCCAACTTCAGAGCGTCTTGTCTATGTGCACCTCTGTCCTCTGCACCTTCCCGCTTTCCATCTCCCACCCCTCCTCCTCTCCTTCTTTCCCGTCCATCCATCATCACAGTTTCCCTGCCTGGTCGCCCTCCTTCTGCCTGCCCTCCTTGGCTTTCCCTGCCCCCTCTGATGTCTTGACATGCCTCCAGGTGCAAGCGCAGACATTTGCCCCCCCCCCCCCCCCCTCCCAAGTCCTGCTGAGGTCTTGACCTACGTGGGGCCAGGCGGCGAGTATGCCCAGGAGACCACGTACAGGTGCCCCCCTCCCCTCCTTCATGGATGCGGGCGAGACTGGGTCACGGAGGGGCCGTGGCCGAGGTGGACCTGAGGTGATGGGGGAGGGAATCAGGCGGCCTGGCTATTTAGACATACTTTTGAGTCGGGCCTGTCCCTCTACAGGGGGAGTATTCAAAATAGTTAAAAACTAGTACGGGGACTTTTTTTTGTTTTTTTTTGGTTTCTTTAAACATGCAAATAATAATAAAAACACTTTTATTTTAGTAAAGTTATACCATTTTGGACTATTTTTTGTATTTTCATTTTTCGTCGAAAATCCCCCTGTAGGGGGACACGCCCAGCTTAATTATACTTGGCTCAAGAGACTTTTTGAGGGCGGCACCCCATGACTTCTCTGGGTTCCCCATCTCTCGGGCATCCCCGCCCTTACGCTTGGTCGACTTCTTCGCTCCCTGCCCTCCTCTAGCGGGGGGGTGGGGGTATTGCACGGGGCGGTGAGGATGATGGAGTGAGGGGTGAGGGATTGTTCGTGCTGAGATGCAGTGCAGGCCGTTCCGGGGGTGCGGTGGAGCAGGGGGATGGGGAGATGATGGTTGAAGCTAGGTGCGCGCGCGTGCCAGATCTGCCGTCCTGTCCCTATCGCTTGCTCCTTCCCGTTGCGCTGATGGGCGTCTTAACCTGCCTGGCTTCCCCAAATGACCACATCGCGTGATGCGTAAGCAGCAAGGGGATCTTTGTATTTTGGAGGATGAGGAGGATGATGAGGAGGACAAGAGGAGGCGGATGAGCTGGTGGATTAAGATAAGGATGAGCCGCAAGCACATGATACGGATGATGAAGGCTGCTGATGGTGATGACGATGTTGATGCGGATGACGATGATGATGACGATGATGATGCTGCTGCTGATGCTGATGAATCTGATTCTGATGATGCTGATGGTGATGATGATGATGATGATGATGATGATGATTCTGATGCCGATGCTGACGATGATGCTGATGTTGATGATACTGATGATGCTGATAATGCTGATGTTGATGACGACGCTCATATTGATGATGCCCGTACTGATGATGACGACGCTGATGATGTTGATGCTGATGTTGTTTGTGATATCATCAATAATGATGCAACTGATGCTGATGCTGCTAGTGCTGCTGATGCTGCTGATGATGCTGCTGGGGGTGATGATGATGATGCTGGCGATGCTGCTGATGATGATGATGATGATGATGATGTTTCCAATGCTGATGATGATGATGTTGATGATACTGGTGATGATGATGAGGATGATGATGATGATGATGATGATTATGACGATGCTGATGATGATGCTGATGCTGATGCTGTTGATGATGATGATGGTGATGATGATGATGCTGATGATGATGCTGCGGGTGATGATGGTGCTTCTCATGTTGGTGGTGGCGGCGATGATGATGACGACGGCGATTATGATGATGCTGGTGATGACGAGGATGATTCTTATGCTGACGATGATGATGAAGAAAAAAGATGCTGATGATGTTGCTGATGATGCTGATGATGATGGTTCTGATGATGCTGATGATGAAGATGCTGATGATGATGCTGATGATGATGCTGATGATGCTGATGATGATGATGCTGATGCTGCTGCTGATGATGCTGATGATGCTGACGACGGCGATGTTGATGATGCTGGTGGTGACGATTCTCCTGATGATAATGATGCTGCTGCTTCTGTTACTGAAGCTGCTGATGCTGATGATGAAAATGCTGTTGGAGTGGGTGTTGGTGACGATGCTGCTGATGGTAATGCTGATGCCGACGATGAGCCTGTTGATGATGGTAAGGACGATGGTGATGATGCCGATGATGAGAATGGTGATGCTGATGCTGCTGCTGGTGATGATGATGCTGATGATGGTGATGATGATGATGCTACTGCTGCTGCTGATGCTGCTGATTCTTCTGGTGATGCTAATGGTGATGGTGATGCTGACGATGATGATGATGATGATGATGATGCTGATGAGGATGATGGTGATGCTGATGCTGCTTATGATGATGATGATGATGATGATGATGATGATGATGATGATGATGATGATGATCCGCATGGTGATGATGGCCATGCTGCTGCGGATGATGATAATATGTATGAGGTTTCGGAGGATGACTGATGGTGATGGTGATGGTGATGCTGGTGATGCTTGTGATGTTGATAATGATGCTGATGGTGATGATGATACTGATGATGATGATGATGATGATGATGATGATGATGATGATGATGATGATGATGATGATGTTGCTGATGATGTTGCTGATGATGATGATGCTGTTGCAGATGATGCTGATTATTGTAATGAGGTTAATGATGGTGATGATGCTGATGATGATGTGGATCCGACGATCATGCTGCCGTTGAGGATGCTGCTGCTGCTGAGGATTATAAGACTGATGATGCTGATGATGACGGTGATGATGGGGATGATGATGCTGCTGCTGATGATGATGTTCATGTTGCTGCTGATGATGCTGATGATGCTAATGATGACGGTGATGATGGGGATGCTGATGCTGATGATGATGATGATGCTGATGAAAATGTGATGCTGCTGATGATGATGCTGATGCTGCTGCTGCTGAAGAAGATGATGAGGATGATGATGATGTTGCGACGGCTGTCGATTGCGGCAATGCTGATGCTCGTGGTGGCGGTGCTGGTTGTGACAACAATGTTGACGATGCCGGTGATGCTGCTGATGACGACGATGATGATGATGACGACGATGCTGATGGTGATGATGATGGTGATGATGATGCTGATGCTGCTGCTGATGATGATGCTGACGATTATGCTGATGCTGATAAAAATGATGCTGCTGATGATGATGCTGCTGCTGATGATGATGATGATGAGGGTGATGATGATGTTGCGACGGCTGTAGAATGCGGCAATGCTGATGCTCGTGGTGTCGGTGCTGGTTGTGACAACAATGTTGACGATGACGGTGATGCTGCTGATGACGACGATGATGATGATGACGATGAAGATGTGATGCTGATGGTGATGAGGATGATGATGATGATGGTGATGATGATGATGATGATGATGATGATGATGATGATGATGATAATGATGTTGTTTGTGTGATGACGAGGATGTTGTTAGTGTTGTTGTTTGTTTTTTTTGATAATGTTGATGATGATGCTGGTGATGATGCTGAGGCTGATGCTGTTGCTGCTGGTGATGCTGATGATGCTGCTGAGGATGATGAGGATGATGATGCTGATGATGATGACGATGACGATGACGATGACGATGACGATGACGATGACGATGACGATGATGATGATGATGATGATGATGATGATGATGATGATGATGATGATTATGATGATGATGATGACGTTGATGATGATGCTGAAACTGCTGTTGATGATGACGAGGATGATGATGCTGATTTTGGTGCTGCTGCTGCTGAGGAGGAGGACGAGGAGGAGGAGGAGGAGGATGAGGAGGAGGATGAGGAGGGGGAGGAGGAGGAGGAGGAGGAGGAGGAGGAGGAGGAGGAGGAGGAGGAGGAGGAGGAGGAGTAGGAGTAGGAGGAGGGGGAGAAGCACCAGCAGGACCAGTAGTAGGAGGAGATGGAGAAGCTGGAGGGCCCAGGGAAGGCGGAGGAGTGGAAAGGAGGGGGCCGATCACCAACGACGAGGAAGGAATTGGCTCCAGAGGTGTTTCCAGCGCAATTCTGAAAGACGGGAGCAAAGCGCCGATCCTGATCTGAGGCCAACGTTGCAGCGGGAACACCTTCCCGAAACAACATAAACGCTCCGATTGTGAAAACACACATTTTATGGCACACCGCCCTGTAACGTACGGTGCGTGAAACGTATCGTCATGGGAGGTTGGGGGGCATGAGCGGGGTGCAGGGGAGGGGTGGATTACCAGCCAGAAGCATACCCTCATCCCCATGATGGGCATCGCCTTATCTCGATGCCGTTCTCAAGGACTACTTCAGTTTCTGAAGATGCATCCTCGAGAATGTCGTCCCCTAGTGGCTTGTCAACCTTAGGGCTAGAGATGAGTTCGAGGATGGTCAGTGGGGGAGAGATGGGCGGCGTCAGCACAAAGGTGAGGGCAGGGTAGGTGGAGTGGAGAGGGTGGAGGGGGGAGGTGGTGGGAGAGGGTTGGAGACGGGTGGAGATGGAGGAGGGGGGTGGGGGGGGGGCGACTTGGGGGAGAGGGGGGGGGATGTCCGTAACAATTTTGGTTCAAGTGCGAAACCGTGGCCCTGCGGCGTCGTACTTGTCCGCGGCCGAGGGGCTGGCCCAAGGCGGTCTGCCTACAAGCCGCGCGTTTTACCATCCTTTTTCCCCGCGCTCATTCGTGGAGGGCCCTCTTTGGCATCGTCTCGTCGCCATGGCTTTGCACACGAAAGGAGCCTCGAAGAGCAATCAGGGGAAGGGCAAGGACTTGGGCGGAGGTCAATCGCCGCCTCCAACGGCGATCTTCGCAGAAGTTGGAGCGGAACCAGAACCAGTCATGGAAAGGCAGATGCTTTTGTGCCACCAACCATATGCGGGTCAGTTTTTGTATACTGTGCGGCGATCATTGGCAAGCCAAACCGCCGCCACCGCCGCCCCGCAGCCAGGATGTTGACATGGGTTGTCCAAGGAGGCGCTGAATCCGACCCCGGCAGAAGGAACACATGGAGTCTCGCTTGCGAAGCATAAATTGGAGGAGGCCCTAGACGCACTCTGCCAGGATCGCGACAGCAGCAAGGCACCCTTGCAGCTCCAGAGAGCGGCGGCCCAGAAGTTGCTAGAGGCGCAATCGGCCCAGGGTAAACACGAGCAGGCGATCACCCAATGCAGGGACACGATCGAGTACCTTCGCCAGCAGACCAGCGATCAGGAGGACTTCATCTGTTCCGGCGAGAAGGCCGTCAATGACTGCCATGCCAAGATCGCGGAGCAGTCCGCGGCGATGAAATTGCTGGCGCCCGTGGAGGAGCATGCAGATGC